ACCTATTCAAAACTAATATTTTATACCTTAACTCTGCTGCTTCAAAACGTTTGCTCAAACATTGGTCCCAACACTACCAACCCAACTAACCCATTGTATGTATCTAGAAAAGCGTTAAGTCACTATTCGACAGTGCTAGACGAAATTGGTACAGTACATACTTACATATTTTACAATCTATGTAATACATAACCACCAGCCATTAACATTCTATACCCAATAGCGTACGGTGCTCAATTTCCTTATGTTTCAACTTCGTTCCCGATTCGCACCGTGAAATAATAATTCAAGATAACAATTACGACCACAAAGAATGCTAGTAAAACGTAATCGGTCAGTTTCTTGTGTAATTTATCAAAACATAACATGACATAAACATTAACTTTTTATACCCAGAATGAGTAAAAGAGATAGTTTTGTGAAAGAGAAAGGAATACAGAATAACAGCTTGCGCGGGAGAATGTAAGAAGACATTAAGCAGTTGCCGCCCTTAAATGACGGAGCTACTGTTTTTGAACACAAGATGGCGCTATCACAGACACATTAGTTTTGTGCAATCACTTTAACGGTAAAAGTTTTACCGTCAAAAATTTTACGTCCAACGGTGTGACATGAAACTATTTTTCTATTGGTCGAAAATGCGCGTGGTTCTCATTAGCTCCATGTGATAGGTAAAAATAATTGGCCTTCGGTACCTACCTAAAAGAACTACAATATCTTATCGTTTATAAAAAATAATTCGAATTCCAAATAAGAGCATAGAATCCTATATAAATTAAAATTGCTAAACGAATGTCACTATTGGAGCCAAAATGATTCACATCTTCAAAACAGATGGGTATGAAGAGGCGGTTGTTAATTGCGAATAATATAGTATGCACCTCCCACGGTACCTACTACATAACCAATTCAAACACAAGGTTGCACCTACAAGCCCAAATGTATGGAGGTTGCGATTGACAAAAATTATGACACAGATATAGGAGAAGTCAGGGCCGGAATAACAAATATCTGGGGTGCCTAGGCAGAATTGGACTCTGCCTAGGCAACCCAGGTCATCAGGGGCCTCCCAGGCTAAAACGAAAATGTTATACCTTTATACATACACTATCGGCCTGCTCCGGCTTCGCACAGAAGCAACGTTGATATGAAATTTCTTTACTATATAATCAATGTTATTATAAATCTATGAAAAAGGCCGCATCAAAATCTGTTGCGTAGTTTCAAAGATGTAAGTATACAAAGGGACAGAGAAAGTGACTTTGTTTTATATTATGTAGTGAAGACGCTAAAATGTACTCATACTATCCTTCCTTAAATCGGTCGGCCTGCCCATCGACTATCCACTTCTTTCTATTTTCAAATTTGAACTAAACTGCCAAATCTGTTCAATTATAACATGAATTCGTTGCTACTAAAAACCAAGTAATCCTTCTTTTCACCTCAAACCGGTTGTAGAAACTTCAAAGAAATGACGCTTCATCATCAGCGATGACATCATTCACCGCAGCTCAGGTGCAAACACGATCTGTTGTAATAAGTCACCTCGATAGCATCAAGTCGGTCGACTTTTTGTAACACAACAAAAAAACCAACAACACTGGTTTACGAGAGAAATTTTTGATTTCACCGAAAATATAATTAACAGAGCTTTTTGCGAGAGGAAAATCATCCAATGACTTCTTCCGTCGTGTGTGGGACGAGAAAGAGTGTCAGACTCTTCACAGATGGTCATTTGAGGCGCGCATCTCGGGTTTGATTCCTATAGGACAGCGTGCTATCTATGTTCGCTAGCCGTCGTGATCTTAGGCTGGTAACATTAACAATCCTAAAATCAAGTTTATGGCTATTACAAAAGAGATAGGATAGGATACCTACAACAATAAGAAAAAAACCACGACTTGTTGTAGTTTAAATCCATATTAATACTACACGATTTACCTACAGCATGATTTATGTAATATGTTTAGTTTAATACGTAAATAAACGCTAGCAATCAGAAGGGGCAAAGGTTTCAATGAATAATACGCGGCCATTTTTTTTCTAATTTGCTTAGATCAGAAGGGAAAGTTAGGTAGATGTTGACACAGATCTCTTATCTCAATGATTGATTGTATAGTCTGTGGTGTTTCGTTCCGACTGCATTTGAATTGATTCTGAATGAAAAACTATATGTCAAAATCAATTTGACTGGGAAAGCCTGCTGGGATATTTACAAATATTTCTCAATGGCGACTTTCAATAACAATGATTTAGTTGTGAAAGAAATAATACCCAATTAGTGAAGTAATTGGTTAACACTGAATAATTAAATTACAAAAACATTGCTTTTCTCTTCTCTCATTTGTTGATCTACTACCTACATACTTAATTTTAGTTCTTTTTGGCAATTTTTTCAGATATAATGACCCAGGTTTTCTAAAGTAAAACATGGTTAATACCGAGTCATATGTTGCGATTTTAGCATAAAATTCATAAACCAAGAATCGTTTTTGACACTTCAATAAAATAATTGAACTTATTACAATTGGAAACTACCGTATTCCTAACTTGTTTTATATCACGAAAGAATCTCCTAAACTTGCATTACCTACGACTCAGAATAATTCCTTCCATAAAATACCTACACGAAACTACAAAAGCGAATGGCCTAGAAACATTTAAGGAATGTCCTCGTCTATCTTGTCTCTGCCTAGTTAGCGAAATTACGAGCAAGATGTTAAACAAAACGTCACGTAACACTTATCACTGGCCAGTAATGCATCCATGCAGGTTTGTCACGCACTAACCAAAATGGCGGACATAGCCGTGACAATTTACGTAAATATGAATATTGATTAAATTATCTGTAGCTTCCTTTGGAATGCAGATAGACTACATAGTTGAGTGATAAAGGCTAGTCCTTGGCTTGTCGCGTTTCGAAATATTTGGTATAATCTGTGGCGCTATGTGAGTTATGGGGCATGATAAATACGTGTGCATCTAAAAAATTTCTAATTCGTTTTAAGTACCTAGATTGTAAGAATCATAAGTTGTATTTCCGAATGTCATTTTTTGGATGCTACGATATTTTAAGTTTGCTGTCGAATATTTATTTATGTTTTTGGCAAATAATACGTCTTGCCTGTAACTCCCAAAGTTTAAAATATACAAAGATAGATAAAACAATTACTTTTGTGAGATTGATCATATTTTTTTTTATGTTATAGATCGGCAAACGAGCAGACGGATTAAGTACCTGGTGGTACGTACCTAATCGGCGCCGCCAATGGACACCCGCAACGCGTTGCCGACCTTTTAGGGATTAGGGATTTGGAGATTTAGGGATTGAGGAGGGATTGGGGGTGGGGAAGGATTAGGCCTCCGGTAACCTCACTTACACGGCGAAACACAACGCTGTGGTATCTCTCCGGTTGAGCCGACCCATTCGTGCCGAGGCATGGCTCTCCTATACTTATATACCCAATATTTCAAATTATTACTTCTTTAAATAAACTTGTTCTAACTTAGAACGAGCCAATTTCTTATTTCAAATGCATCAGAAAAGGTACCCCATCCCTAAATGATGTTCCAAAGAATCAAAGACGCAAAACAAAACAAAATCAACATGGCACCGACAGAAAATGCAGCTGAAATTATGCAATGTTAGAGTAAGTACGACAATCGAATTGAATCGATAAAATAATCGTAAAACCTAAGCGATTAACGCAATACGAATTGGAAGTCGACAACAGTAATCGTTTCGCGGTAGCTGGCCCTTTTTGCTATCTGTGGTTGGCCAATCAGGAGCTGGGATTTCTCACGGCACGGTATGCTTTTAACGCCCCGTAACAATAAAAGCAACATTACGAAATATTACTCATATTTGATCTATTTCACTTCTTTGTTTTTAAGATGTGAAAATACCACATTTAGATAAAGCTCAGACAATAACTGCGAATTGTTATTATGTAAAATCTTATACAAGTTCAGTGCGTAATTTGTAGGTTAAAAATCTGTTTTGTTTTTAGTTTTTTTTGATGAATATTTTTACTGAACTAAGTTAGTAGGTGACGAGTTGTGAGTTGTGACAAGCTTTTGTTTACATTCCTCAAGTATTCAGATATGAGTTGAGGTTGAGCCGGGAGCAGTGGAAGAAACGGGGTGGTTTTTAGTCAGGAATTGTCTGACACTCGTCCCGTCTAAGGCGATAGAAGTCATATGAATATCGCCCCCGGTTTTTACTACTTTACTTTTGTAATACATCCAACGTTATCTGACCTCTAATTGTTAAGACTATTCTAGCGGTGAGAGGTCAGTTTCAATAATAGTGTTATTAGGTTGTTTTATGGTGAGAAGATTTGCCATATAGCTTCTGCTTAAAGCAAAGCCATAAAGTTCAAAAAGGTTAAGGTTGGACGTGGTACTAAGAATTCATAAAAAATAATTCAGTCATTAACAACACGATTTTGAACTTTAATCTTAGTGCAATATGGCTGTAATTAGTGGAGTCAAACTATCAGCCGTACGCGTAGTTATTATTTGAAATTAAAATTGATTTACGTCAACACCTTAAGACCAGTGAGTTATTAAAATTATGTTTGTTTATGTAAGTTATTCCAATGTTTGAGTTACTTGTTTACACCGCATCACAAGGGCAACTGAATTGAACTCAATGAGATCTCGACTTCTAAATTTGAATCGGAAAATTCTGTGCAAATAAAAAAAACAGCCGAAAAAATTAAGCAAATTATTATCTGCATGTTTATACATCTAATAAGTTGAAGTCCCCTAGCGAAAATGTATGTAAAAATCACCCCAATGACCTTGAAATTAAAAGTTACAGGTCTTGCAATAGCACTGTATTTTTAAGTTGGTACTTGTTAATTACAACAGACGTAAAACTCCATCCGTTTATAAATTCGTTAAAGATGGCCTATCGATAAGGCAACCGTGTTCGCTTTGCTTGTTACCTTAGATGACGAAATAAGATAATGTTAGACAAAAAAAATTGCACTTACATCCTTGTTAGCGACCCGCCTTCAAAGTTTAATCTGCAAAAATACAATAAAATAAATTATAATATAAACGATAAATATTAAAATATGACACGATATAAATAAATATAATGAAATGGAAATTATATGCTTTGAAATTATTGCAACAAAACAAATAAGACAAGAATTTCTAAACATTAATTTAATAGTTCTACTTGTCAATAGATGGCGCTGAAACAAATCTTGACAGCAATCTATTTGTGAAATGTCGCACGCATTGTGGCCGGCGGAATGCAAGTTGCGAAATTGTGTAGCGACTTAATTACGAATCTTATTACTATTTATGAATGTAAACAATCACAAATGCCATAGGTAGACGTGGGCTGGTTTTGTAAAGATATTTCATTGTCTAGGCTGATGGGATTTGCATACGCGTTTACATTTCGCAACGAACGCCAGGTGCGTATAGATTGATAGTTGCAACAGAACCAGTGGCAAACAAGTTCCATGGCCTCGTTTATTGTGAAAAACTATCTGGTGAAGAATAAAAAGGTATTAGGGAAAACATACAAAAAGAATTGCCCCGGGTGAGGATCGAACTCACGACCTTAAGATTATGAGACTTACGCGCTGCCTACTGCGCTACCGAGGCCAGTGTTTATTGGATCGAAATTATCGACTGTGTATGACACAGGATATTTGTAATTATTTTTTAAACATAAAATGTTTTTTTCTGCAGAAAGTAATTAGTATACTACTATGCTGAACATTACCGTGACCTAATTACTTAAATAAATTTTAAACATTCCCTAGAAAGTATGTAATACAATTATAATCCAATAAATAACCGAAAGAAAAATAAATAATTTATAAAGTGAAACTTAAACAGCTGTTATGTCACTAGTAAACGAAATAAATGATATAAAAACCAATTTATCAAAATATTTTTTAAAGAAAAACCTGTATAATATATTACCCATCACAATTACTCCAAATATTTTAATAAATAAAATAAAAATACGTACCTAATATACTGTAATATAATAATACACAATATAGGTTTACTTTTAAATAGGGTGACAATGATAAAGCAAATTCAAGGACAAATCCGACTTGTTTATGTCAACTGTCAAGATTAAATACGTTAGTCAAGGGTAGGTATTAACAGTTAACAGGTCTTGGAATGCTGTTCAGCATATTTATTGTTTATAAATCTGTTCAGGAATGTGCTACAACAATCACTATTTCCGATTACCAATATAATTTACAGGAAAGATATTGAAGGTATTTTTCTTCCTGGTATTTATTATATATCACATGTTGTGGCTTTTTACAAGTGCTTCTGGACGTGAGGGACTGTCAGAGTTACTGACTAAAATCCGCCCGTTCCTTCTCCTGCTGCAGGCGGGGGCCAGGGTATATTATTACGCTTGACCTCCAAGTCTGTAAAGTGTCAAAAGTAGAAGTTTACTTTACTGAAAATAATAATTTAATCATGTTCATTGTCGTGATTTACCATTTTTTACAAATAAACCTCTTTATAACCTATATCAAAGACACAATATTCATTGTAAATCAAAGATATACAAAAACCAGTACAGTTAACCATTTTGCCTTAATAGGAGGATTCAGGATAGAATTCTATGTGTAACTGAGTTCTCTCTCTCTCTACTTGCAAATTATTGTCGGGAAAGCCAGCCAATATAAGGGTCATCTTCAAACATTGTTATCACAATGACTTTCGCCGTCTATCGACTACTCCTGACTGTCGATAGTGATACGGCACTCCAAGCACGTAACATGACACTTTCACTAGCCAATAATTATGTCAACAGTCAACAGTCAGCCATCTTTCGATAGCAAGGCTTTTGTTTTACGCCGGCATCGGCTAGAAAGTAACTTGATATTGTTTTAAGTAGGTACATCTAGTTATTGTTGCTACGATGTTTATAACAAACAGGGTTTGGTTATTTTTAAGTGGCCTGTGTTTTTTTTTTTTGTTGTTTACAATGGCCTTTTTTAAAAGTTAGCTAGACAATCAGGAGGAGATCAGGATCGAGGAGTTACAAGAGCCTTGTCGGCTTTTTAAGGATCGGTGATGTGAAGAGTGAGACTCCCAGAATCTTAAAGTCACACAGCGAAATACAACGCAAGCGTAGCTTTACGTCAGTTTTCCATGTGGCTGTGATGCCTCTCTGGCCGACCCGGCAACGCACGGCTCTCCAATACTTTTACTTGGACTACATTTTGTCACCAAAGCCTAAACTTTTCCACCTGTTTTTGCGGGTGCAATAATTACTCAATATCCATGATGTACCGACGCCCTGGTTGGAGATAATATAGGAGCAGGGTAATTTTTGGTCAGTAAGAGTGTGATACTACCTCTCAGGTCGGAATAAGTAAGTGATTGAAGATTTCCCCCATAAAAAAAGAGGAGCTAAATGCATACACAATGCTTCTAAATACTGGTTATTATGGAACAAAAGACACACGAAAGCTTTACACGTTAACTTAACTCGTCGTTGCAACAACTTTGAATTGTTTATTGCGACATTAGACCTTTCAGTACAGTCAAGAGATGGAAACGTCGGCGACAATACTAAATTAACTGTCAGTAGGCAGCCCTACAGATATTTTACGACTAGAATGCATAAACTACCAGTCGGAGGTCGTAAAGCTAATATCGCTTGAATGTCTCCAATATACAGATTAATATTAATATGGAAATTACTAGATTACGCAACTAACATGTGCGTGACCATAAAAATGCCTATTAGATTTAAATTGCAAAAATGTTTCGAGGAAAATTCTCTCGCAGACATAAGCGACAGTAGGTCATTGCGATCCACGGCCGCACCCTTGTCATATGTAAGCGAGTCTCCGATACTTACTCATGATCAAGTTATTTTTTTACTTAATAACTACTTACTTATCAAGTAATTACTCGCCAAAATGGTTGCGTAAACAAGAAAGTTTCGTTCAGGAAGTCAATTTGACCTTTCCATTATTTTTAAACCTCAAACCTGCTAATTTGGTTTATGTACTTGATGATTGGAAAATCACTGATTCACATTAACAAAGTACCTACAAACATCGCCGTAAAACAGCGTTCACTGTTGTGTAAATGCTTAAGCAATACTTATTATGAATCTAACAGATTTAATATGCCAATAATAACGAAGGAAGGAAATATTTGCGACAATTTATTCTTAATGCAACGTATAATCGAGACAAACTCTGTCCTAATGCGTTAAATTACGAATAAATCCAATTTTGTCGTAATCGAGTTTCCATATCAGTTTCGCGCCATTTTCGAACGTCGCCATGTTAAAAGCTATCAGTGCGAACCAGAACCATAATGAAACGCGTTCTCCATGAAGTTTTCATTGAGAATTGTCCCACCAACTGTTCATGCTAAGCTGAGGTAGCAGATTGGAATGTAGAACTGTCTCAAATTACCTAGGATTTATATAACATGCACAATATAAATTCCACGTAGGAAAATAAAAAAGGTAAATATTAACTAATCATATGAAAATGTTACGTAATTTATATGTATTAAGTATAATATAAAGGTTTATTCGTATTGTAAGTTAAGATCGAGGATTGGTCGACACAATTTGACGATATTTTTCATTAATAATTTGATGATATATTCAGAAATTAAGTACCTATCATCAAAGTTGAAATTAAATAGCCCGAAGCTAGAAATGTTAATTAGATGCTGATCGTTCATCACTGGTTCTATTTGGTTTAACATTAAACAAATCTAGATCGCATTCAAGGCTTGCCTTCTCATTTGAACTACGGAAATGCCAGAAATGTTTTATTAACGGCTAGTTAGAAACGAATCAAATAAAGTAAGTTATTTATCAGTTTAGCAACGCAAGTAAGCTGGTTCGGTTAGAGAATATCTCAAAAGCAGTTTTTTTAATATCACTACACAGTATAAAGCAATGTTGCTTTCTCTGTCCCTATATCCCTACGTACGCTTAAATCATTAAAGCTACGCAATAGATAACCATGAAGGTTTTTTATTACATAGTATTAATAAAATTTTTAAAGTAGAGGAGAAATTTAGCATTAGCATTGCACCTGTGCCAAGCGGGACGTCTCGCCGACAATTTGATGATGATGAATGGGTGGATGGATAAATTTTTTTTTACTATTTCACTTAAAAACTACAAAGCCGATTTTGCCGAAAATAGGCACAGAAATAGACTAGTATGTCGAATAACATATATACATATTCATCCAGGTGACTAGAGCAAATTCTCTTTCAGAAGCTAGTCTTAGTAATAAATATGCTTCAACATTATTTCCAACATAATCATTAGGTAACTCCTACCACACGGTCGAACCTATCAGTTTTTGTCGCAAAACGTCTCAATTACAAGTCCATGGTCTTAATTACAAACCGCTAACTCCCACATGCCGTCACATCGCGTCGTGAGTCTAATGATGTTCAATCTTCTACGTAATATGTTACACAGATTACATAGAAGTCATCGTTTTTTGCTAAGTTTCCATCAAACACCTTAACTAACATCTTCTAAAACCTCTGTGATGTAAGAAGTAGAAAAAAATCACTTAATTTCTTATGTTTACGATCAACTAAAGGTTTCCAAATAGGTTTATTATGTTAAACAAATAATTTATAATGTAAACAGAATATTAAATCTACATAAATAAGTTTCGATGAGTGGTGTTCTAAATATAAAAAGTTATAAAAAGAAAAAATGCTATATAGTTATGGTGCACGCCATATAAATTGCTTATTAAACACTACGAAACATGTTCTATTTATTTTAAATATCCGAATATCAACATATATACAAATCAAGCTTTTATCCAAACAAAATAATTAAGTGTTTGTGTTTTCAAACATTCCGGTCTTTACAGACCAAAAAAGACAAAAATGAATCATTTATTTCAATCATACCCTTAGAGGCACTTTTGAACGTCAAACAAAGCATAAAGATAAAGTGTCAGTCTGTCGGTCAGTCCTTATAGTGAAGCTATAAGCAAAGACAAAAAAACGCGTTCAAAGAAATTAGTTTTTGCGGCAGCATCCTCATATTACATCATCATAGATCACGCATCGTCCTTCATAACCTCGTTGTGTGGTCACCACAGTAAGCTCTATATGTAAATATTGCCTAAGTAGGTATGTGTGTCGCAGGCACAAGTTTTGTCAATACGTTACGACAAACACATTATAGGGACATGCTGATGATTCTAATGACTTCAATACACACTGGCCAAGGTTGACCGCATTTTTGATGTGTGCTGATAAATTCTCCGTTGGTAGGCTTTGCAAGGTAATGCACTTCGATCGGACTTGTACTTAATCTCGAGCATCAGTCTACAAGTAACCACTTCTGAGAATACCTTCTTGTCATGACATGAGGTTGCTGCGGTTTTACTAAGCTTGATCAAGGCGGATTGACGGTTTCGGTACATATAACCAGAGATTATAATAGGTTTCCTAACTTTCCTCACTATTTTATAAAGAAGTACTTAGCTAGGATCACCATGAATTAAAAATTCATTGGATTTTGCCGTAATATGTATTTATAGTGTGGTTTGTGTAATCAATATAAGTAAGTGTAATACGTACCTAGATTATAATTTTGTAAATTCGTTATTAAAGGACGCAATAATACGAGATTGAATAGGACTACTTATTCGGAAGAACTGGGTTACTGTTGCAAAATTACTTGTCACACTATTGAGTTAGTAAGTGAAAGAGAATGGCCGTTAATATTAATAAAATAGTTTTTAGTTGGGTAGTTGACAGGCAAAAATCGAATACTTGACTACTCCTTACCTGCTTGATGTGGAAAATAATGGAAACTGGTGGTGGAACACTAAGATTGTCGAACAAATTATAAAACTAAGTCGATTTATTTGTCTCTATATCCCTATCAAACTACTCAATGGATTATGATGCGGTTGTTTTTATAGATAAAGTGATAGAAAGATTTATAAGTAAATAATATCAATAGTGGAGTTATTTAGACTCAATATTGCATTCGTGCAAAGCTGGGGCGGGTTCCTAGTAAAGTTTAATTCCTTTTAGAGGATTTTTGCACTTAGTAACTAGATCAATGTATAGGTACATACATAAGTAAGGTAAGACTATGAGTAATGAAACTGCCCTTAAACGCAAGTAAACGGTCACGGCCGTCGCCTCACCGGACGACATAACGCGACCTCAACGTAAATGAATTTATAATGTCGAATCAGATTGCGTGCAGCTCGTGCAATATTATCTTGAAATCGTTCACTTCCCATATCATGAGAATTATTTATGAATTCTTACTTTATAAATTGTAGTTGAGTCTTGAGATAGACAATTTGGTTTAAGTGAAAGGAATGCTTATATGCATGCTAAGGATTCTTTTATTAGACTTTTAACTAAAATGCTACCAAATTTCAAAAGATTAGATAGATTGTGATTCTAGTACCGATGTAAAGAAACCCATAATTTATTGTGTGGAACGTATGAATGTGTGTCGAACGACAGTGGCACGGTAAGGACTTGTTCAAGAAAATAAAAATATTATATCACTATTTTAATAGTCTATTCAGTTTGATTGTAAGTGCACAATGCCCATAGATAAAGAAGAGTAAATAGTGAGTTTATAAATACATTATGCTATTATAATGATTTCTTAAGCATTATAATTTATAGCATAGTATTATAAATGCTATAGTTGGAAAACTTGATTCTTCATTAACTGCGGAAATGACTCGTCCAGCCATTGCAAACCAGTCCTCAGCTATGCAAACAACAGATATATGGGTCTACCTATGGATCTAGTAGCATTTAGACAATAATACACATAAGTTATTGAGATTCCTCCTCAAGTCTCGTTTGTTTTTCTTGTGGTGCCACTTCATCTATAAAGTTTGGCCTTCAACCTCTTGGAATTAGTCCTTGATATGTGACAGGCAAAAAAAGTTGTTCGACAGCACTGATATATCCTCGTCGTTTTAATTAATATCTAGCCCTGATCCTGTTTCATTAGAGCATCATATCATACACTTATATCTACTTGTTACATAATAAGGAATATCATCACTAAATAGTATCTACATAGCAAAGTCGCTTTATCTGACCCTATATCCCTATCCCTGATTTTGATACATAGAGTGGCAGTTTACATTTAATAAATAGTGGAGAAATTGTAGTATGAGCTTTGTACTCGTTCGAAGCTGAGGCGGTTCGCTAGTTTTGATAATATATTTATTTTAACAGACCAAATAATACGCATACTTGCGCACACCAAGGTTTTGTTTAACATTCGTGTTTACTGATCGAAAATTAATATTAAATTAACCCACGTACCTACATACATACAAACATTTTTGTTTAGTATCATTAACTTACATGATCTACCAGTATGTAAATTTTAAGTTATTACACCTATCGTAGATCTGTTTCTAAGTGTTGATTTATGACTGATGTCAGTATTTGTATCGCTGGTAAGTCGTATATTAATTTCATCACGCAAGAATACTAATCGGTATAAAAAAGCGATTGCATTATTTAATAAGACGTAAGCGTGACTGCTGCACGCAAAGACCTGAATAGGTTGAATGCTAAAAACATGAAATTCTTCGTATTTTGCCCCAATCAGCTCAATACGTGATTATGCTCAATCGTTGGGCTAAGAATCAGTCTTTAAATCTTACTCATGCCTATGGATGTATAGGAATAATCTTAGTGATATATTGAGAATGCTATACATCATCTGCCTTCAACTAAACGTCTTTAATGGGCCCCGCCAAGATGCCAAGACACGACTTCATTATAATAACACCATAGACTATCACAAGGTCATAGCGATGTATAACCTGTGGGCCTTATAGGGCAGATGTTACTCAACAAGTGTAATTACTCTCTGTAATGTTTTTTTTTTATGTTGGCAGCCTTGTGTCTTTTTATATACGAGTGCGAGTACACGGGTCATGGGTTACGTTACAACTTGAAACTTGTACTTACTAATTTAATTACCATTTATTGAAGAATAAAGTTGTTTTTATTTAATGCAATGTTTGATTTAATAATATATTCGTTGGTTGTGTAAAGATTTAAAAGAGTACCGGACAATTTTATTGGCTTTAAGATTGACAGAACTATTTGAGTAGTACTCGGTAAGAATTTATTCAGTGCTTTGATTGTGGTATTCAGCTTTGCCGGAACCGTTAAATAAAACCAATCGAGTGAGATCTGCCAAAATCCGCTTATCAAAGCAATCAAAGACATCTACAAATATTAGCCCATTTATTTAAAATTGAATAATAAATCTTTTTTTTTTAAATAGCTTCTAATTCCAGTTACAAACTTCCTGCGTAACTGGTTAAATATAAATAGTAGCTCCGAGACAAATTATTCATTACTTCAAAAAAAAACAACAACAAAAAAATCTCGTCAAGTTATCAATGACAAGAAAACGAAACGTGTCAATTTGTATCACCGATAAAACTGTAACATGATTATTTATGCACTGTTATAAGAAGAAAAAAAACTAAAAAACCTAAGTTGCACTTAGAAACAGGTTAATTATTTCCACCAAAAAATATGTAGCAAGACAACAAACAAAAACGTTTTAAACGTTTTCTGTACAGAGAGATGGCTGTGAATATTTGGCAGACATGACTATGAACTATGAAAAACCATACTCAGGCTTAAAGGGCCGGTAAAGCATTTGTGACTCTTCTATTATGCGTCTATAAACAGTGATGATCGCACCCAATTCCGTATAGAATGAATGAAAGAAAATATACCAATTAAATTTTAAATGCATGTTTGGTTTTCAAGTCTAGAAATGAAAAAGTTACAATTTCCTAATAGGTACACAACCTAAAAAAAATAAAGTTTAAATAAACAATTAAATGTTGCAGAATAGTACTCCATTATGTCGCTCTGCGTTCGTATTGAGCTTGCGAATGTAAAAAACCTCGATTAATTAAAATGCTGACACAATTCCTTTTGCTATGTTCGCCATTAGCTGGCATTCTATGTCGTATTACTAAATCTAGTAAAGAAAAAATGTTGCCTTGCATTTACGGTTTGTCACTCAGTAAATAAGAACCAATAAAGCTGTGTTCATTAAAAGTAAAAGGCGCGTTTATTTTTATTCATTTATGAATAAGTATTAATAAAAATAAATTAGAAAAGCTAGGCAACAAAATAAATAACAACTAAATTTTGTTACACATTAGGCATTAAAACAATATTTATAAGTACAGGAGTGTCCGAATTTTCTATCAATATGGAAACCCTAGTAAACAAAGTTCTCTTTTTGACACAATACCCACATGTAACATTTAAAAGTTCGTGTAATGTTCTCAAAATTATCAAAATAAAGATTTTCTGGTAGTAATTTTAAGTGTAAACGATGTTTAACCTGTTGGTAAGTGTCGAACTACGAAGTAACGCCTACAGGTACGCACTCCTAATGTCCGGATTAGATGGCGGGTCGCAAACCTGTTCCGCGCATACCAGCGGCACGTTGCGTCACCGCGCATGCGCCGCGATACAAAAAATGGCGGACTCAGCCGCGGTAGGTACGTAAAGATAAAAAAAAGTACAGAAGGGACACCACACCGATATTTTTTATCAAAGCGATATTTTTTGTTATTTTTCGTACCGAGTAATTTAAATTAAATACCGTACCGTAAATTAAAATAACATCGATATCGGTTTATTTTTTTCTATACATATTCAGATGAAAACAACGCAAACGGCGCCGGCCAGAGACACCCGCAACTTCAGAGAAGTAACGAGTGCGCTTGCGGAATTAGTTTTGGAGATTGAGATCCTGTGCGACGAAGGTTTTGTTCTAACCTCTTGTAACATTTGAAATTTGAACCTTCTGCGTTTATTCGCATTGTGGTCTCCGTCAAAATGAGCGGGTAAACTGCTTGGAGCTTGTGCAATGTTTGTCGCTGGGATAACTGGCTGGCTAGTTAGCGTCTCGTTTAAGTTCCGCTACACTAATATGTGAAAACTCTTATGTATGTTTCTTGTACAGTTGCACAATTTTCTCGTAGTAAAAAATTACGTAGGTACCGGTATTGCTAATAATTTCGCTCGTAGTACCAGATAACCTAGGTACCTATCTAATGTTATGATTTGAGAATTTGTTGAAAAAACAGTAGTTTGGACCGACTTGACCAATTTATCAAAAAAAAAAACATGAAACACATTGTGTCTGTCTTATACATATTTTGATTATATATTACCTGTCTCAGGTCTACTGGAAGAAATTCCAACAGGAATAAGTAGCACCTATGTACTCTTATTTTATATACCTATGTATTTTCCTCTGCGCTATTTGTGTGTACATAAATTATTAAATAAATGAAATGAAAATTGAAATTGAGTTTTCTTGACGTTAACACGTTTGTAACGTTATCATGTTAATCCCTTTTTTATGGAGGGAAAAATCATCAAAATAAATGCCTTCACCTACCATAGAGTGTCACTGTGTCAGTCTCTTACGGCCTAAAAACTCCCCGTAGGCTGTTCCGTCCTTCTCCTGCAGACTGAAGCCGCGGTACCTTACTGGCTAAGCATTGGCAATGTTGGACCCCATCTGTCAAGTGCGCGCGAAACGCTACACACCGTCACGCCGGATACCCGGGTCTGGTTCCTGGTCGGCGTTGCTCGCCGATCTTACGGGGCGTTTACGGTAGCCACAGATCTTCGGTCGATCCCCGACACCCGGAGTGTCGCCTGCCACGACGGCTGGGGCGGAAGGATAGTTAGTCTCACGCGTTCTGCCTTCTCTTTTGCGAGCATTGCTTTGCAGAAAGAGGAGGCGGCTTCGCAGTTCCTTTCAATCCGCACCTTTTTTTGTGAGGGGAAAATCATCAAATGACTTCTCCCGCTCAGGGTGGGGCGGGAGGGAGTGTCAGACTCTTACTGACTAAAAACCCCCTGTTCCTACTCCTGCTCTAGGCCGAGGTCGCGGTGCCTCATTGCGCTTACCCCGCAACCCCGGCTAATCCGCACCATGGCTTCGTGTATGGCCCTATGATTGGTTAGAAAACGCGTAACGTCATAAACGTGTTGATCGCAAAATCGCACTAGGTTCTTTGTGTAGTAGGTACTTAGGTACAAATTTGTCTGAGTACCAAACTACCAAATACTTAATGCTTAGGTAAAGATGCGGTTTACTGTTGCAACGACTCTGAAGGAATAGTTATAACGGTGATTATTTTTAAACAACTGATATTACCGCCAAGGACTCGAAGATTGCAGCGATGAGCAATGATTCATGGAAGAACAATGCTTGATCTCTAAATTCAAATAAGTAGGCAGATAGGTAGGTAATGTTTTGTTTTGTTTTGATACCTAATGTGGCTCTTTTAGATTCTTAGGTTAATAATAGTAACAGCCTCGATATTGTTGTCATTTTTCTGTTGTAAACGTAGGTACGTAAAATATAAATAAGTATTAAGGTAATAGTCTAGCTGTGATAACAATAAACAAAAAACAGGTAGGTACTCCTGCTTTTTAAGCTGCCAAATGAACATCTTAAACTGACCGCTGAATGTTGGGAAAGATCAAGAAATCCACGACCAAGATATACTGGTCTGCTTGGTAGCCGGGGCTGTGGGTCAAGCACATCAATGCACCGTGGCTCGGCCTGGAGAAGGAACTGCAGGAGAAGGAATTGAGTGGTTTATATTCAGTAAGAGTATGACACTCGTTCTCGCTTCACATAAGGCTGGAGAAGTCATTAAAAAGTTTACCTAACTCATCAAAAGTAGAGTATTCGGTACTGGTTCTGTAAAGCTTAATGTGTGCATATTATCTACCTAAGTATTGCCTTCTTTAGGTAATAAGAACACTAGCTACTCCCACGCTGTAAAATAAGCGCGTTTAAGTAAACGTATTCATACTTTATAGTATTACTAGGTACCTAGTACCTACTTAGATTTTTTTATGTGATAGGTCGGCAAACGAACTGTGTCATTACCTGATGGTAAGTTATCGAAGCCGCCTATGGACCCCGCAACAACAGAAGAGTTACAAGTGCGTTGTCTGTCGGCCTTGTGAGGAATAGGGTTTCAGTGATTTAGGGGCTCAAGGGGGGGAATGATTAGGTCCCCGAAAACATCTATGACACGGCGACCCATTCGTGCCAAAGTTTGACTCTCCCATACTTAAACATTTTCAAATGAAAATGAATTGATAGATAGGTACCCTAGGTAATTCCAGTTTTAACCAGATACCTGCACATTACAGTTTTATGGATGTTTAAAATACCTACTAAAAGTATCTACCTACGTAAAAATACCTACTAAAAGTATCTACATATCATTTAGTACCTACTTCAAAACGGTTCTAACAGTATTCGTAAGAGACCGTGTTGACAACAAATGACATGACAATCAAGTTGGCTGTCTTTTACCGCGGGGTCAAGCCAAGAGGCAAGGCCTTCGAATTGAGTTAATGATAAGTACCTACCTACTTACCTAAGAACAGGTATATTTGTGAATTTAAGACTTAGACATTGCATTGCCTTCGAGGAATGGTATAGGTAAGTACTAGCTTAGTTATTTTTTCGTGACAAAAGTCATCAAATACTTCTATCGCTCTGAGTGCTCCTCCTCCCATCTCCAAATCCTTCTATCCAGGACGGATTCCCATATTTATCCAATTGCGGCTTCAAATTACATATTGGTACGGTACCTAATAAGTAAGTTCTTTTGCTAGGCTATCAAATAAAATAAAACCTTATTTTGTGCAGTACAAAATTGGAAATAATATGACTAAAGTTATGAATGACACTTACAAATTTAAATGACTAAACATAGGTACAATACTACCTACTTATCAAAGTGACCTATCCGCTATTTTACATTCTCAATCGGTAGATACCTTACCTAACCGTCGATTTATCTCACAAGTACGTAAATGGTGGGTAAATAACACCAAATAGAACAATTGTTCCACACAGATCACTTTCAAACCATGAGATATCCGCACGGCGCCGGTCACAACCTTCAAATTGCTATAAAACAAAGTTGAAAAGTTTCTACTAAGTAAAGTTACGCACTATTATTATCATACAATTCTCTATTACTTACAGAAGTTCTCAATCTTTCCTTTTTTATTTATTTTTTGAGGTAGGTATCATAGTCATCAAATGACTTCTCTTGCCCAGGGTTCCAAGTGGAATGCCAGAATCTTACAGATTAAAAAGTTTCTTCTACTCATGAAGTACCTAAAAAAAATTTACTTCATTCTTTTCTACTTCTTCGAAGCGGGGCCGCCGTAGGTTATGGCGATTGTACCGATGGTACCTAATCGTTTGTGGAATGCGATTTTCTGCATAAAAATCAGTGTTTGTTGCGAATGTTTAAATGATTTTCTTATAATATAAATGCAATGATCCGAAATTAAGTAGGTACTTAAAAGTTTGCTTTTAACTCTCACAACACAAAGTTATAAGATTTAATTCATTTTAGTTTAGTCTGAATTGAACGTAAAATACACGAAAAAAAACACTAGCAGACGAGTCTGTGCGTCTGGAGGAGGGATTGTGGGAGGGGAAGGTTTGGGCCTCCGGTAACATCACTCACACGGCGAAACACAACGCTGTGGTTATTTCACGCAGGTTTTCTGTGAGGCCGTGGTATCACTCCGGTCGAGCCGACCCATTCGTGCCGAAGCATGGCTCTCCCACACTGGGGAATAATTAGGTACGATGCTGTCGCGTCAGAATGTTTGTATACGACAGTGACAGCAACAATTTGATTCCTCAGTTAACATTTATCTGACTATTGAAAAACAGCCCTTAAAAATTGTGTTTGGCTGTCCGTTGGCTGTCCGATTACCCGTTCAAATTTAGAATGTGTGAATAAATAATTTGTTTTTGTTTCGAATTCGAAATTTGAACTACGCGACGATGAAATAGGAAAGCGACAAACATAAGAACTCCTTTAAAAAAATGTTGGTTACATCTGCTTCAGTTACGATTGCTATAGAAGCTGTTATCGCAGACACACATCTTCATAAATACACGGCATTGTTGCACTAGTGACGAGTACAAAGTTACAAACAATAATCTTGCACAATCTAAACTAAGCCTACTATGCTTTTAATTAAGTTTGTATTTCAACAAGCCACTAGACACGCCTTTATTTTTGTAGATAGACCAACCACAATAGATGAAAAAATTATAAAGCGCCTTTATTGATATTATTAGGATAAACCCTTTTTTGAGGGGTGAAAGTCATCGCAAGACTTCTTCCGGCCTAGGAGGAGCGAGAGGAATTGTCTAGACTCTTACTGACTAACCACCCCGTTCCTTCTCCTGCTCCAAGCCAAGGATTTAGTATCGTACATTATTGCCCTTGCAGTCATAATTCCGGGTGTACATCAGCCCTATTTGGCCCCATCTGTGGTGTTCTTTTGGCTCTTTGAGGCCGTTCGCTTGGATCTGGTTCTGGTCGGCCGGCGAGCTACCCTGGCTCCGTCGTCCGACCCGCGCTTATGGTGGCCGGAGATCTTCGCGCGATGAAAGCATAATATACATATACTTATGCAACCGCATCTCATCAACCTAATGGTAATCAAATCCATCAGCACCGCCCATAGACTCAAGAAATATCTACTAAAGTAGTTAGGTACTAACTAATAACTAACTTCACAAGTAGTGTGTTGCGACCTTTTTGAAATTTAAGTTATTATCGAAATTGAGCATAAATCTCTATCCAAAGTACGTAGGTATCAAACCTACAGATCGTTCTAGAAAAAAAAAACACACGCGTCATTACTGAAATAACCAAACGCAAACTGCACTGGATGGCGGCAATAGCTATGTGGAATGTTAATGCTGATCGGACCTCTAGTTAAATAAATAGATCTGATCTGAAATCTTTTCCTAGTTCTAGCCTTTTCTCAATAAGGTTATGGTCGTAAACACATACTTACACTGAATCTTAAATACTTAATTAGGTACATAATACATATAGTAGTATTTTACCACAAAAAAATATTTGGGAACAAATAATTCGGAGTTTAAAACATAATTTATTTCAGTATCATTTAAAAATAGAATCATTCAATGCACAATGTGCACAAATCTGTCAAAAATGCTGGTATGGATTTTTTTTTTGAATGTATTGCTGGTATGGAAACAGTCTCGCTGACCACAGTTTATACATATAAAAATATTTACTGTGTAATAGACTCACAACGTTTCTAACTGTCAAATGTTTTGAACGGTTGATATTTGCGTGGCTATTATTTAAGTTCCCAAACACTCACTTAATAAAAAGAAGTTAAAGTTTAGACTTAAATTTATGTAATTACGACGGTTACTCTAATCACATAGCGACTTTCAGTTAGGTATTTACTGGTCCGTGTTCCCACAAGAAGCTGTATTTACTGCAATTAGCTTTAACGTACACAGCTTACGTTAAGTAGGTATGCTAAATATTTTCCGCGTTCATTGGATAGGTTAAAACCTTCGTACCTATAAGTAATTTAGAATAACTTTTTATAACAGAACGGCGAAGCGATCCAAGTATTTCTGCCACTGCCATATAAGCTAGTCTTCTTAGTATTGTTGGTTAGGTACCTTATATTATTTTTTTACGTTTATAAAACCTGTCCCTAATTAATAACGTTACATTGGTTGCACACCGAAGGGTCAACTAACGCGAACATTAATATCATAGGCTGTCATGGATAAACAGCCATGTTTTATTCAAGTAAAGGTTATTGCCTTACAGCCTGGTATTTTTTTCTTGCCATTTATTCAATGCCCCCGCACACCGTGGTGTTCCGCGCTTTTTTGTTTGACAATCAACAATCACTAATTGACCGGGTATGGGAGATTCGATGAATAGCTGAGAACTAAGAATACCATCTGTATTTAAACAATCGATTGAGCTTCACAACATTGACAACGGAATCGACGCTTCGTTACACGATATACCTATAAGAATTTAATAATATTGTGATAATATAACGATGCGGTCTTTATATTTCAGTTTCGAATGTTATGTATTTAAAATTACGAAAGAAAAATAAGAAATGTCAGTTTTAAGTAGGGTGACCCAATTAAGTTCTTGCACTGGACAGTCCTGCAATTACATCAGAGTAGCTACATTTAAAATACTAGTTTTTGTGAATATTACACGTATGTAGGTACAACAAAATCATAAAATTATAACAAGAGAAATGCAGTAAGTACTAGTGGTCAAATGGGTTATGTTTCTAATTAATATTGGAATGTTTTAAGAAAAGAGAAATCATAGGATACTGCTAAATATTGCGCAGACGGAATTTAGCGAAACTTTGAAATATTTAGAACGTTTTCTTTAGTTTACTTACTTTCGATTTTTAGCGTACAATACAAATAGGTGTTAACTGGCGTAAATTTCTTCACATTCAGTTCATTCATGATGTTGAGTTTCTCATACATAAACGTCGTAGTAAAATTCACAAAGCCAGTGCCCACTAAATAATTTCAATTGTTGTACGTCACCATCGTACCTATTTGCAATTACATAACACATTTCTATTGAGAGTAAATAAAAAGTAATTTTCCTAGATTTCTATAATTATAATAACCAAACAAAGATTTTATTACGGAAAAGTTAAAGACTTTACTCTAGCTGCGCTATAGGACAAACTAGCGTGCTAGTCTAGCAGTAGATTGCAAATATTGCGATAGGCAATTATTACATAATGCGAACATTCCTGTATCACATACCTAAAAACCGCAATTAGAATCATGATATTGCACACTAACATAAAGCTTAATACTAACTGGATACTAGTTTTGCTATACAAATGTATTCATAAATAATTTATTGAAGTTTACATATTTCCTACGATTTCTATGAAACTACAATACACAACTTATTATGAAAAGTTGCCGGTCCCAGCTGAGCTCTTGCATACAAATGGCTTTTTCGTAATAGATTGCCCAATGTCACATCTTCAATCTTAATGCAAGTTAACATACGGTCATGGTACCGTGGGTATATACTTGATTCTCTAACTTATTCATAATTTAATCATATTAGGAATATTTAGTACCGTTGTTAAAGCTTGACGGCTCCTTTATTAGTTGTAAAAAGTAAGCTCTTTGCGTTGATTTGACTTATGAGAACAAAGAGATAATTCTTGGTGCCTAAAACCAAAAAAAAGATTAGATATTCAAAGTTATGTTCGATGTCAACATTCGCAATGCTATGCGTTGCATTTTCCCGTGCGGTATGCGGTACCCAAGAGGTAGGCATATACGTGATATCATCTCCGCGGCGCGCAAGGCGTGGCGAGAAAGATTAACGCGACTCCTATTTACATAAACTAGTCAGTTACATAAGGGAAAGTGGTTAAACTTTTGTGAATAACAAAATTTACACATGCCTCCAACTAAAAGCGCTTTTCATTGTTTAATTTACGAATGTGGTGACAAAAACGAGGCTTGTGTGGCTTAGTGAGTATTATATTTGGAAAGGCTTTCAAATAATGTTTGCGCATATTATTATATATATATTATATATCTTAAAAGTAATCCTATTTTCTTAAAACATTCGATAACACAGATTTCTAAAATTTGCGTACTACGACTACGATTCTAACAACTTCATTGGAAATCCATCGATTACTTTCAATCTCAGTCACAATTGACATTGAGAATCCTAAACAATACATAAGTTAACATGTATTTACACAAATGTATAGAGAATTGAATAAAGCTATAATGCATGACTCAATGTTTTATTTGCGATAATTACGTAATTCTCCATAGATCGGAGCACAGCTTAATAAAGTTAAATGTTAAAAGAAACGGGGCTTTGATCATGTTTTTGTAGGAACCTGTTGAAATAAAAAAAGGCGGTTTCTTTAACCGCTTGTAGGCAAATACCTTCGGAGCAAAAAGGTTAAGTATCTGTCGAGCTCAGAGCATTAGAATCTCATGTTTAATGAATTAAGTATGCCAAAGGTTTCGGTCAGTAACGAGTAATCACAAATAGAACAACCCAATATTCCAATCTGTTTGGAAAATTATACACTAATTAGCTTTAATAAATTATAATTAATTCGCTTAAGTTTTACAACTAGTGCACGAAATTAAACAAGTGAAATCAACTTTTATCTTCTTGTAATTAAATTTGTACCAGTTTTTAGAAGATTAATTTCATGATCAGGGTCAATTAAATAAAATAAAGATCTGAACTAAGTTGAATAATACTTATTAACGTATTCAATTGGTTTACGATACAATAATTCATTTTTACGTTCGATGCAGTCGTTTACTAAATTAAATCAAGATTATAAAGATATCTCTTTCGCTTTTCGACACATTAAACACGCTGCACGCTTGCCTGATATGGATGCATATCGTCTTCAATTTACACTCAATCATCGATAATCACGCGATAGTCTCTCCTTTAAAATAATATTTCTACTTGAACGAACAACAATAAATAACGACAGGCAGGTTAAGCATCGACAATGAAGTTTTCTTCCAAGTTCCCAGTATTGAAGAATTCTTTGAATACTGGGATCTGTCAAATAAATTGATAACAAGCATGTGGAATAACGGCGTCTAAGTTTCGATAATTATAGTGATCAGGTTGCGTGCTCTACCAAGTAGGTAACTGATATTTTTAATAGTAGATAGTTACTTATTCTATAATTAATCTCAAACTTTCTACACTAGACATAGCTACTTACTTACTTAAGTTACAAATGGAAATAGGTTTGAATATAATATAATATGTATAGCATGAAATGGTTAAGGACGGATCGTGTACACTTGAAGCTTAAAATTAAAGTTGCAGTTATTAGGTATAAATATGAGTTTCTTGGCACTGAAGGTATCTGAGACCGTGAACTGGTGTTATTTTATTAAAAATCTTCTATTTCTTCACTAAACAGTCCTTCAAATTGTTTTAAATTAAGAAGCAATAAAAATTCACACACAACCTGTCGCAACTTCATAATACTGTTGTATCCTGTTTTAATCATACAAATTCATGGTCAATACGTTTCTCTTTTGAACTTCGAATGTGTCTGTCATTTAAATATAGAGCGAATTGGTAATTGATTGTCTATGCTGCAATTTACTTTTTGTCTGCAATCGTAAAAATAGTTTTGTATGAATAAAATATTAATTCAAAGTCGACCTACATGCCTACAAGGTTAATTAGTAGAGAATAAATATATGGTGTTTACCAACAAATAAGTTTGTGAATATTTGGTAAGTCGGCACACTAGTTATTTATGTTTCTTAAATTAAAAATTCATACATGCAATAACAAGTAAATGAAGAAGTATAATTAAATACTTTTATAATTACCACCACTATATTTCTAATGAGATTACTTTCTAAAATGTTCAATTTTCTGAAATAAATTATATTATAGTGGGAACTCACCTTTCCAATTAGAATCCAGTTGGGAATATTGATCAATCAATATCGATGTTCGATGAATTCAAACACCCACGATAAAACGATGTAGGTAAATAATTTTATTATTATTTATTCAAAGTTAAAATTATTACGAAATACATAACAAACAAACATGGGACGCAAACCCGTTTTCACGTTAGAAAAATTCCTTTCTAATATTCACTGAGTTCCATCAAACTGGAGTTTACTGGAGATATCACAACAAATCCTTCAAATAATCGATTTTATTGATAATTTTCGATCGAAATACAACACTCACTCCTGTCTATTACTTTTTTCAAATATAGAAACGTTCACTTTGGCGTCACCGCGCATGCGCTCAACAAACGCGCGTGCCTTCTACGACGACGGTGCGACTGTCTGAGCCAATCGGCGTTTTGCATTCTCCGAAGATCGAGTTATTACACAAACGAGTTTGAACGGTCGTCAGCTGTCGTAAATAAGCTACGTTCAGTATACGTTCTTGTAGAACCGGCTAATACGATTGTTTCTTACTGTCTGCACTGTAAAATGACACTTATTTACTTATCATAAGATTTAGAATAAACATTGAGGTCCTAAGATTTACATTTATTTTCTTGAAGTGTTGACGTTTAATAGCCATAGGAAAATGATATTTCCTGCAACGAGTATAAGATTTATATTAATTTAACCAGGTGTAAAATGAATGAGATGTTTTATGGAAGATATTTTGAATTTTATTGACAAAGCTTTAGTGGTTAAAATTGCATGTTTATGCTTGTGTTGAGTTGATCACCTTAGAAGAAATGCTGTGGCCTCGAGAGGTATGTGCAGTGCATAGTTGAGTGGCCCGAAAGCCCGCGCAGAATCTTGATGTTTTATCACCGCACGTGACGTAACACCTGTTGAACTCTTCTATTGTTTCCCAATTATTGTCTTTAAAATTGTGAAATAATAACTCTCTTTGATACATCCGTATATTTTAATAATTCAGGTGTTTTCGTTATTCTTTTCAAGTCTTATTTGATTGATGTTCTGATTTGATTGGTAGGTAAAGTAAACGTATTCTATTGGATTCATATTTCGCAAACTAGCGACATCTAGTTGAAATAGAAAACAAGACTCAAATGTGGTGATAGAATAAACATAAATCTATTATATATTTATAAATAATGATTTTCCAGTTCCAATAATCGAGTAGGCTCTTGGATAATTATGTAGGAACATATTATTATAACAAATATTTAAAAGCTAACTCATCTTTTTGACGCTAGATGGCGCTGATACTAAAATACTCTCACGCAGTTCTTTAGCGAATAAATAGAAATTCTTATCTGTTATTTTAGTTGATTATTAGAAATCTATCACAACATAGCATTCCTGAGCTCTCAGACCAGTGACTCATACGCAGAGCCTATATTAGAAACGAGTAACTGTCACTCACGTACATCAACACTTCCGTCAACACATATACGTGACTACACCGCATAATGAGACGTCAATAATTCCAAGTTAGCAACTTAATTACTTTGCGAATACTGTTTAATTGTCCGTCTAATGTCTTCTTCCGTGCTTATGTAATATGAAGATGTAATATTCGAAGTAAGTAAAAGAGAAATTATCTAACAGTCTGTACCTAATTGCCGGCAGTTGTTTTATGGACAATAGATCATGCCGGTTGACATTTAAAGCTGTACTATTAGTTAGCACGCGATGTGTCAATGGTATAGTACTTAATTAGTAATTTGAGAGTACATTAAAGGAATAAGGAACTACATAGGTACCAACTCAATAACCGCCAGATAATTGGGTACCTAAGTAGTTACCTAGGCAAAAATAATTCAACGTTTCAATACAATAAAATATTGAAATATAACAATACTTTAATTCATCGATGGAACGATACATTAAATTTTAGATATTTTTGTGCTAATTTTTGAGAAATAAGTAAGCTATTTGACACTGAAATACTATGACGTCATAACTCAGTGTTTATACTATCATAGAAGAGTATCGTTTTTGACGTTTGGATAAAAGTATTGAATTTGACTAGTTGGAAACTACCGTAATAATTTAACACGGAAGCCTTCGGCCTTTTGAGGTAAGGGTTTTGAGAATTGGGTATTGGGAAGGCAGAATTGTTCTAATAATCTCATCCACATGGCGAAACAAAATGCAATGGTTATTCCACGCTACTATCCTGCAAGGCCCTGGGTAGATACGGCGCCGGTTGAACCTGCTCAATCTTTGATGGCTTTCCCTCACTTTCAATGATGGTACGATAGTATCACGACAATTATTTTAAACTAGTTTTTAGTAGGAGCTCCATTTGTGTAACAACATAGAGGAAGCTCGTCTGAAGAAATGTCTACGTGTATGAAATCCGAGCTTCGGCACGAATGGATCGACTCGGCCGGTGTGATACCACGACCTCACAGAAAACTAGCGTCGAACAACCACAGCGTTGTATTTAGTCGTGTGTTCCCCAATCCCTAAAAGGTCGCCAATGCACTCGTAACTCCTCCGTTGCGGGTGTCGATGAGCGGCGCTGATTGCTTACCATCAGGTAATCTGTCTGGTCGTTTGCCAGCCTATCACAAATAAAAAAAGTTTTATTGGTCGTCGGACAATTCAGCAACACCCGTTAGTTGAGCTGGTTGTAAACAGACACTTGCGTGTTTGCCGTCAGAACAGGTCAAGTAAAATTGGTGTGCATCTTGCATCAAAGATCACTACAGAATAAACTTGCACGATTCTTCTACATTATTTTTATATTTGCCTGGAATTTTAAAAGCCTCTGACCTCTGATATTATTTCAGGATTTCTTCTCAGAGTTGAGAGTAGTCAGATAGGAAGTGCAGGCTTCATCCATATTTAATCTTGCCATGTAAAGGTCCTATTTTGTTTACAGAAATAAATTCATTGTTTTATTGTAGCCACTTACCTTGGGACGTCAGCTTTAAGAACGCACTCATTTTCACTCCAGTTTCCATCAAAATAAAAAACCCTTGTTCTACCTCATGTCCATTTTATTCAGTGATACAAATACTAATGACGACTTGAAATACCTATACCTATACTAAATATCACACACGATCTAAATCTACGGTTTTATTTTTATAATACATACAATACAATGCCACAAATTTTGGTTCCAAACAATACTTACTCGAGTCCAAACAAAAAATGAGATCAAACAATCAATTTTTTTTATCGAATATAGAATTAGTTGTTATGGTTTAAAAAAGTTTTTTTTCCAGGAAACGTTAATAATAAGTTATTCATTTCTCTTTTTAAATTATATTATTCAATATGTCTTTGCCAATTTCAAACTATGTGATAGTAGTAAAATTATAATTTTAGTTTTTATTTATGTAGACGAACATAATTGGATTTGTTAGGTACTGTGATATTAATAAACACATAGTTCATGATATGAAAGCTCCATTTTCAAAACGACTTTTTTATTTTTTATTATTTTTTTATCTATGTATTTCTCCCAGTTATGTTGTGAGAGGTTTTAATTAGTTTTCATAACACAAAATAAGGAACTGATATAGAATAGACCCTTATAATTAGAGGGCAAGTACAAAGCAGTACGATAACATACTTTTAACATATCCGCAGCACGGATTTTCATGCACTTTCAAATAAAAAATTATGAAAACTTAAGAACCAATTTAAATAAAACTTGTTACTCATATTAAGGTTTGGTGGAAAACTAGCTACCCGCCTCATCTTTGCTCAGGTGCAATACTGATCCTAAATTACTCCAGTAAGTATTTCTATACTAATATTGTAAAGAGGTAAAATTTGTAAGTTTGTATGTAGGGGGTAATCTCTAGCACCTCGGGTCGGATGTCCAAAATTCTTTCACTGATAGATAGCTACAATATTCCAGAGTGCTATAGGCTATGAAACATCACGCTACGATTAAATGGAGCCGAGCAGCGGGTGAAACCGCAGTGTAGCTAGTATTATCATAAATAACGTACGTTGTGACTTGAACTTGAAACTAGTAGAGCTTTTCTCAGTTATAATTCACGTGAGTTAGGGCTGATTTTTCAATGGTTAGATTAAAGTTACCTGAGGAATAATTATGATGCTGTCGCGTCACAATGTTTGTATTAAGACAGTGACAGCAACAATTTTATTCCTCAGATAACATTTATCAGCCGTGAGTCGTAAGTTTCAATAAATATTATGTGTTGCAAGATAATTTAGGTGCCAAACAAAAAATAACGTATTTAAGTGCATTTTCGAAATATTATCAATTATTTTATGTTTATACAAAAACTTAATATTGCCTCTTACTGTCCCTATACAGTATTTCAAAAATGTACTTATTTTTTTAGACAATGATATTGCGTATGAGTACCATGTTTTATCAAAATCAGTTCAGCAGTTTCCAAGATTTTGGCTTGGAAAATGTTTATGGAAACCAATGACTACACTTTTAAGTATAGTCAAAAAAACATGAATACAGATTTACAATAAACAAAAGTCTATAACTACTAGTAAATGTAGATTTAAACTCAGAAATTCATACATTCCTACATATTCTACGCAAAATATTGTAAGGTACAAATTTGTACTAAAATCTACATAAAATATTAACATACGGCTTTATTACAAAACAGTTTTTCTTTAGTCTAGTTTTAAACTACCGAACCAGTTTTTGAATTTCAAATTGAAGGTAGGAGAGCATAAGGTTCAAAATACAAAACCAGACTCAATGGTTTAAACCTGGACTAAGGATAACAAATCTTGTTTTATAATAAGGGGGATATAGATTATAATACTCATTAAGTAACTTACTAATAAACGAACAGACTAGATGCACACAATTAAATATACATAATAAATATAATAAAATATACATTATAATATACATAAACACGCTAGGTATTCGATCTTTTTTAAAGTAAATAGGATATTATGAATAGAGATTTTCATAAATAATTACCTTAATTTACATGTGTTCAGGATATTGCCAAATTGTAATATTCATGAAGGAGTCTGACGGCCACATTTTTTGTGACTCCAGAAAAACTATCGGACAACATTACAATAATATCTGTATTTTTATCCTTGCAAGGATAAAATACAGATATTACACTGTTATCATTAATGTGTAACTATCATCACATCAGACATACTAAATTAAATAATGTTTTACAGTTTATTTTGATATTTTAGAGCCCCAGTATAGCCCGAAATTAGTCGAGTAATCGCCAAACAACAACAAACATTAGTTAGAATCCAATAATACTTTACTTGACCTACAATATAAATTAAATATAAGTAAATAACGCTATGTGATTATACTAATCTACATAATTATAACTTACAATATATATGTATGATATCACACTAAACTTGTATTTAACTAGATAAGTAGGTATATTATTATTTTAAAACTATACTCTTTTTATCATACTTTCATGGTCAGACTCGTTCTCTTTTCAAATGATAAATACTGTACACTAATGTTTGGACTAAGAGACACGAAGAGACATAGATTATAATGAAATTGAAATGTCATTTTTACCTTGAATTTCTTCTCAGAGTTGTCAGATAATATGTTCTACAGTAAGTAAAAAATATTTTTAAGCACTAAAAAAATGGTTATTTTTAAGATAAAGAGTCAATAATAAAAACAAAAAAAAGTTTAAAATAAAATTTAAATTACCTTCGTAACTGAAATAAAAGACCTAGAAAAACCAATCATTTTAAAAAAATAATACGGTAATCATTTAAAACAACGTATAATAAGGAATACGAATAAATTACATTATTACAAAATAACTGTCAGTATACTAAAAAACTTAGAAACATAAATATATCTAAAATTAACACATAATTATATTATCTGACTGTATTTTGAGGACAGGCTGTATAAACGATATATTATTTTACTTGAAACGAGGACAGCCTGTGTAACGTAGGTATATGGATATTCTTGTATGTATTGGTACAGATCTTTAATGTGTTTTCGTAGTTAGTAAATTGTTCTGTAGTGGACCTCTACCGGATGATGGTGATGATGATGATGATGATTCTGCTATATGTCCACGAACTCACTTATTTTCAATCACCCGTCAGTCAGGGGCCGCCCAGCTGTCATAGACTTGTTGCCAATCTATATGTTTGAAGTAGGGATGCCGTTTGATTTCTTCGACGCCATCTTTTCCCGCGCCCAGTCGCTCTGACGGCTCGTATGTAAGGAGCTGGAATGAGGAAATAAGAAGTTATAAAAAGGACGGCTAAAGAAATGATCTCGGTTTACTTGTTTTTTGGGAGGGGAAAATTTTGCTCCCGCCCAGGGAGGGAGCGTCAGATTTTTACTGACTAAAAATGGCCCCGTTCTTTCTTCTGCTTTAGATGGGAAAAGTTTTCTTTTATTATCCGGGCCAGGGTTGCAGTGACTTATTGCGCTTGCCCCGCAACCCCGGCTAAACATCAGCCCCATAGGGCCCCGCCTATGGAGGTCTATTGGCTCTATGAGGCGCGCGCGGAACGCTACGCGCCGTACGCTCGGGCCTGGTTTTGGTCGGGCGGCGAGCTACCCTTACTCGCCGTAGTCGCCGTCCGCAGACTCGCGGCGTACGTGCTAAAACTAGCCGACTCAGCTCATTCCATACAGAGTCAAAATTATATTTGAATGTCAGTTATAGAGCACTTAGTATGGGAAATAAATTGTAGTTCTTAATATTTTATACCCAAATTTTACATACGAGTAATTCCTCACTTGGTAAACGTTCCCTCCGAATTCCAAGAATAATTTTAAGACTTAAATTAGCTAAATCTGTTCTGTCGTTTCCTAGTTATACTACAAATGCAGTTGTTATGATTCATAAAAATACACAGCCACATTTTTTATGAAAATTAAATCTGTTTGCAGTTAGTTACATCAACGGATTATCCACTTTAGACGGTGGAAGTGCAATTATAAACAGTAACCCCGGCAAAGAATAGTAGGAAAAAACAAAATATTTCTAATAGAAATTGTTCAAAATAAGAAAAAGTAAACATGAAATGTAGGAAAAAGCAAAAAGAGATAGTGGCCCATGAGGGGATCGAACCCGCGACCTTCGCGTTATTAGCACGACGCTCTAACCAACTGAGCTAATGGGCCGATGTTCGGAATGACGAAATAGAGTACCACATCACTAGACTCCTCAATGTTCCATGGATAAGTACTATAAACAAGAAATTATTAATAACAGCTACACAATACCTATATTATGCATTTTTGCTATAATTCGGAGTCGAAAACTGACTCGAGCGCAAATCATGAGAATTAAGAACGGATTAACACATAATATGTCAGGAGATTAAGAAAGCTCTGTGTTTTTTGTTTTATTCAAGATTTTTATTTTTTTAGGGGCTTTTGTCAAAGTGTAAAAGGATATACAGTCCCATTGTACCTTATAACACAAAATTTATTACTTACATTGATTTTTTTTATGTTTATTTATAAATAAATTCATCCTACATTGAGTGAATAGTAAACAAATACCTTTATGGATACAAGTAGTGCGGCCAGAATCTTTAAAAGCATACAACAAACTTTAAAAATTTAAATTTTAATTGATTTTTTTCAATTCACATAAGGAAAAAAATAGCAAAAAGCCAACGTCACGCGGTATTCCCAGGAGGTCACCCATCCAAGTACTAACCGCGCCCGATGTTGCTTAACTTCGGTGATCGGACGAGAACCGGTGCTTTCAACATGGTATGGACGTTGACGATATTTAAGCTAAATTTTCAGTGTACTATCAACCAAGGTTTTGAATGAATACATAGGGTACAAATTTTTTTTTTTTTGTAATAACCTACAGACCTTTTCCTCACCTCGTTTCCTTTTTTTATCTTATGTATCTTTCTGAATAACTATTAATTGTATTTATCAAATTATGTAGGTACGAATTCTTTTTCTTTTATTCCAGGAACACGGGTAAGAAAGAAGCTAGCTGATGTAATAAATATTAATTTGTCGTGATCTAAGTAATTGAAATAAATCAAACAAAATTGTACATACCTGTGTGAGTATGGATTGTACTTCGAGCGGTAGTCCGTCGGGTAGCTGCAGTATTGTGTGTGACGTGAACAAATTGCCGTGGTAATGTGACAGAGGCTGCAAGGAGATAATAAAACATCTATATAGGGAAGTACAAAGAGGATATAACCGCGTGGTCATATTGTCATTGGGTAAGAACATATTTATATAAAAATCAATGCCACATTTAGCTGCTGTAATGTTGTAACTCAACAATGCCTTCCGTGCCGTGGAAGTCCATAAAAGTATTGACTTAAGTAAAAAAAAAACTTGAAGTAGTGTAAAATCGACATCGTCTGCGGAGACGTGGGCTAGCGGTCGCCCACATATTAAAAAAATGCAATTAGCAAAATGGGTCGGTAAGAGCATAACTCAACAACGGCTGGACTATAATCGTACTTCATTGATGGATTTGACAAAATACGCCCGACAGGGTCAAGGGTCAAAAGGTGTAGATAGGTTACAAGCGCTCAGCAAGTGATACATTGAAATGTGGCTAACTAGCCACACTTTTTCATATTTGTCTCTTTTTCACTCGCTATTATTGAATCATGCCATCGCACTTTAACGTGTATCATACGATGTATTCATGTGTGCATCAGTGTGCCGTTTTTGAAAATCGAATGCTGTTTATGTAACCTATCTATATCATATCTATACTAATATTATAAAGAGGTAAAATTTGTAAGTTTGTATGTAGGGGGTAATCTTTGGAACCGCTGGTCGGATTTCCAAAATTCTTTCACTGATGTATAGCTACAATGTAACTGAGTACTATAGGCTACTAAAACATCACGCTACGATTAAATGGAGCCGAGCAGCGGGTAGCTAGTTACTTATAACATAATTGATGTAAGGCATATTATAATTACAAATGTATACTCACAATCCCACAAACGAGTTCATAGAGCACAGCTCCGAAGCTCCAGTAATCACAAACGTGATCCAAGTCCGGGGTCTCGTCCAACGTGTTAGTGTATAACTCCGGGGCGATGTAAGCACGCGGGGCCGCGCCCGGCCGGAGTACCGAGACCCGCATGTCAGGGCCCGGGTAGTACTGGAAGTAGGTCAAGATAACCTGGCCGCGGTCGCCGAGTAGAATGTTTGAGGGGTTCAGGTCTCTGAAAGGAAAAAAAATGACTGTTAAATTAGCCGATATTGCTCGGCCTAGAGCAGGAGAAGGAACGGGGGTGTTTGTAATCAGTAAGAATCTGACACTCTCTCCCGACCCACCCTGGGCGGGAAAAGCCATTTGATGTTTTTTTTCCTCACAAAAAAGGGGTGTCCATAAATTAAATGAGGTGCTTTTCCATCCCTCCGCCCTTCATCCTTGGTTAGAGATGTCGTGATATTTTGCTCAATCCCCTCCCCGGACACATGAAATTTTTCAAATGCGGGATTCTTACTTAAACGCGTTGGATTGTTATTGTAATTTTTTTTTAATAAAAAGTTACTCCAATTTCCTGGTATTTGTCGAGACCCCTCCCCCAAAGTGAGATTAGATGACATATGACTCGACCCTCCCCCCTAAATCACCATTGATTGAAGACGGACTTCAGTGTTCCAATGTTTTCCAATGTACTGTAGATCCTGGCTTACAGGAGTTGCAGCGGATTTAGGATCCTAAATACTAGAGTAAGTTGGCAGTAAGCAGTATACAGTACCTGCATATGACGCCTGCATTATGCAGACAGTGCAGGGCTGTGAGTATCTCGGCCGCCCAGCGACACACTGCCGACGCGGGCAGCTCGCGACCCCCGCACGGAGACTGGAACGGAACGTATTAATTAATTTATTTATTTATTGGATTATTTACAATTGAGGGACATATTGAAGGATGGTGCTCAAATAAAACAACTTTTAACATAATATCAATATGGTAATCTCAAAAAAAAAAAAAAAAATTACTTCTCAATGCAAAATGTTCAATCAGCTATTCTGTTTTTTATGGAGAAATACATTTCTTTTTGAAATTTCTATATTGGTCCCATGGAAAAAGTTGTTTTAATTGAGCGCCAAAATCGGCTTCTTAACAACCTTAACATCTACAGGTTAAGATAAACGAGAGTTTTAGACACTGCAAATTAAATTTTTCATCTAAGTAATACCAAATTCCACTAATTAAGGGATGTTACTACTACGAAAAAGGAAATTATAGCAATAAAACTTGTGATAATCTTTGGCGATCACCCATTTAAATACAGTGTGTTTGATGTTGCTAGTGTTGCTACATTAAAATTCATGATATTAATTTGTTCAATTGATGTGCAGTAAGAGTATTGTGTAACATTTTGCCAGCGCTAACGTCAACGTCCATACCATGTTGAAAACACCGGTTCTCGTCCGATCACCGAAGTTAAGCAACATCGGGCGCGGTTAGTACTTGGATGGGTGACCGCCTGGGAATACCGCGTGACGTTGACTTTTTGTAATTTCTTTTTTATTTCCAATACTGTAGTAGATATTTCTTTTTATAAATTCATTAAAACCTTATAAAAAATAATTTAGCTGTTTTTAAGTTTATTGCGAACAGTCACAGATACACGACGTATGTCTTATATAATATATCAACGGATAATAAAAACTCACCCTTTTAAAGCTAGGAGTGGTATCACACGCGTTATCAACTTTACAATCGCCGCGTTCACTAGTCGCCACCTCAGCCGGGGACTCGCACAAAACTTTATCAACATTCAACAGCAGTTTCTGAGAATTCAACACCAATTCGTTGACAGACAACTCTTTGTTATTATTCGTCGCCTCGACTTCGGTTTGTACTACGTCACAATTATTGTCAGTCTTTTCAAAATTCTTATTTTTCGGTTCTGTGAATACATTTTCTAAGTTCACTTCTCTCGCTGGTGTTGTGGGTAATGATTTGGAGTAGTTTTTTATGTAATCGAATAGTTTCTTCCCTGGTGCGTAGGAGAGGATTAGGAATATCAAATTATTTGTTTCTATATAGGCTTGCAGTGGCACCATGTACGGTATAACTGTTGGTAACACAGGCTGTCGTGTTTCGTTCGTCCGCTGAAGAAAGAATTCGTCGAATTCTGTAAGGTTGTTCGGTATTTTTTGGATCACCTGTAAATACAAAAAAAATATAAATAAGTAAGGATTTTGCTATCCACTTATAGATATATAAAATCTAGCTTCCGCCTGCGTATAAATGTAATGTTTTCCGAGATTTTGAAAACAACAGCGTTTAAAGCGATAGGTCGACTAAAATACGAAACTCGTATAGTATGTAGCCTATAGCACTCACGAACATTGTAGCTTTCGATCAATGAAGGATTTTGGAAATACGACCAGCAGCGACTCCAAAGTTAACCTTTATACAATTTTAGAAATTTTAATATTATACAGGGTGTCCCAAAACTCAACGAGAATCTGAGACCGGATGAAAGACCAAGTTATACCAGTCCTAGGAAAAAATAAAATAAAAATCCATATCACTCAGTTCAAATCCAGGGTCAGTCAGAAACCAATGCTTAATTATGAGGCAATACGTTGTTCGTCGGGTCAGCTAGTCATCAACAAACAACAGTGCCGAGTGCGAATTATTTTGACGTTGAAACGTTCGAAATGTTACCGTATTTAGCTCTCTGATTGGTTGGTTAAATTGGAGCAGACCAATGAGAGCGCCGAATGTCATAAACGTTTCATTATTTTTACTGCGTTGTGTCATATTATGCAAAATCAACAGCTATAGAATTAAAAGCTAAAAAATTACAAAGAATATAATAGAATAGATCTAATTTAAATTTAGTCTGGATGAGAGTACACGCACAGGTATTTGGTATAGGTACAAAATATTGATTGATTCAGTAAAAAGACAGTGTACTTATTGGTTATTAGTAGTAGTTCATAATATCTTTTGGTGGCATTGGTTGGCCTAACAATGGCCTAAACACTAAATAACTATGCTGATTGTACATAAGTATTTCACCACGTCAATCGTCAACGTCCATACCATGTTGAAAGCACCGGTTCTCGTCCGATCACCGAAGTTAAGCAACATCGGGCGCGGTTAGTACTTGGATGGGTGACCGCCTGGGAATACCGCGTGACGTTGACTTTTTTGCTTTTTTCATTTAGGCTTTTAATTTTTAATTATACATGTTTTTTTAAATTGTTGTATTACATTAGCAAAAGTTATTTAGTATTTTAAATATTACGCGATTTAGTCATAATATTTGTAAGATTTTATGATTATTTAAGTATAAGAAGAGATATATGCGTGAGAATAGATTAACAGAAATATGTAGTGGATAAGGCATAAAAGAAATATTTAAGAAATGCTGTTATCTTGATAAGCAATTGCTAACATTATGAAGAGGAAAGATTAGAAAAAGAATGCTTGCCTTCCGCATGGAATAAGCTTTGAAACTAATAGACCATTACATGATTTCGTGTACATTCAAATGAGAATGAACTCTGTGTGGTTGTGTTAAAGTTTTAGTCTCAGTAAGGGGTAGAGTTTCAGACTTGAAAAACGTAAATTTAGCGTAAAAGGAGATTTATTTATTACACATTTGACGCTGATTGGGCTACCAAAGCTGCCGAGAGACTCTTAAAGAATGACCCACAAATTGTTGTACTTATGTGCAATTATATTTGTAAACGCACATACGACATAGGAGAAAAACCAAGTGTGAGGATTTGGGTACCTACTTGATGACAACTAGCATGTAGTATGCACTAATCTGCGAAGCCCTAAACCCCATAAGGCCAGTAACACAGTCATAACTCCACTGGTGTTGCGGGTCTCCATAGGCGGCGCCAATTCCTTACCATAGGGTAATCTCAAGTGTCGGGGAGCCACGCTAAGTGTGGGAGAGCCATGCTTCGGCACGAATGGGTCGGCTCGACCGGAGTGATACCACGGCCTCACAGAAAACCGGCGTGAAACAACCACAGCGTTGTGTTTCGCCTTGTGAGTGAGGTTACCGGAGGCCCAATCCTTCCCCTCCCCCAATTCTTCCTCAATCCCCAAATCCCTAATCCCTAAAAGGTCGGCAACGCACTCGTAACTCCTCCGTTGCGGGTGTCCATGGGCGGCGCTAATTGCTTACCATCAGGTAATCCGTCTGCTCGTTTGCCGACTTATTACATATAAAAAAGAAATCTGTCAGCTCACTTGGCCACCAATCACACGAAAAAGATACTTATTTCCAATTTCGAATATCGGATTCTCAAAGCTGACCACGTACCTAATGACCAACAGCTTGCCATTGGATCATTTGCCTGCACATTTGCCACCAAAATCACATAAAAAAATACTTATTTCCAATTTCGAATATCGAATTTTCAAAGCTGACGGCATAATGACCAACATAATAATATTTATGTTAAAAACTCATTACATTTGATCTAATTTCTTAAAAAGGCAAATGTCACACGGGTTATTCTTCAAACTAACGACTTCATTTCATCTGTGTCAGTGGGTCGCTTTATCTTTATAAAGATAAAAATTTTGCAAACTTTACAACGTATTGAGGCGATTATTTTTAGCTATTTTTCTTCCTGCGGTTTTAGCTGAGAAGAATTTATATTTATTTATTGTTACTAATTTAATATTATAAAGAGGCAAAATTTGTAAGTTTGGAAGTTTGTATGTTTGTAAATTTGTATGTAGGGGGTAATCTTTGGAACCGCTGGTCGGATTGCCAAAATTCTTTCACTGATAGAAAGCTATAATATCCCCAAGTGCATAAAACATCACGCTACGATCAAATGGAGCAGAGCAGCGGGGGAAACCGCGCGTTTGTAACTAGTTTATTTATATAGTAGCGACCCGCTCCGGTTTCACACCGGTGCAAACTGGTACTAAATTTCTCCACTATTTAAGTGATGCACATCTATAATAACGTTACAAAGCTGTAGTTTGTTTGTTTGAACCTGATAATCTCCATCATTCCATCAATTAAAACAAAACGCATCAAAATCCACTGCGTAGTTTTGATTTAAGCACACATAGAGATATAGGGACAGAGAAAGCGACTTTGTTTTATACTATATATGTATATTAAATTGAATCAAAAAACTTTACCTTCATAGCATAGTAGGCCTGTTCAGTCCTGTGGAGGACGAGCATGATGCTGGATCCGAGGATGTCGAGCACACGGTACAAGGCGAGCTCCTCATACGGCCGCCGTAACATCGACAGCGGGATCGGACAGTGGAGGGGACGGAGCGGCTCTTCGGGTTCAGACAGAAGCTGTGAAGCAAATAATAATAATATGTTGAACAGCCATACTTCGGTATGAATGGGCCGCCTTAAAATTATACATACTATTATACCCTTGCAATTTAAATAAACCATAGAAACTTTTATAGGCAACTAGCGGCCCGCCCCCGCTTCGCATGGGGCCGACTATCTCGCTAGCAAAGGGTAAATTTTTCCTAATCTTCCCCTCTACTTTTTAAATATTTTCTTTGATAAGAACCTTCTCCTGACGATAACAAACAAAACAAAAAAGAAATAGCAAAATTGGTTCAGGCGTTCTTGAGTTATGCGCTTACCAACACATTTTGAGATCCATTTTTATATATAAAGATATTCGAATGAAAGAAGAAAAAAAAATCATTCATTCGGTACTAGGCACGCACGATACACCAAAATGTTTATAGAAACAAAAAAAACTAACCACCAAATTTTAGAAACGAATTTAAAAAAAACACATGTAAAATGACTAAAACAAAAGAAAAAAGTCATAGACATAGTCAAACGGGTTGCCAATTCAGTATAAGTTGGGCTTACTGAGAACCCAACACTGATTATTACTGTTATTAGTTGGCACCCTTGACGCAAAGAAAGTTATTAAGTATTCCATTTTTTTTTATGGAATAGGGGGCAAACGAGCAGATGTATGACCTGATGGTAAGTGATCAGCGCCTCCCATGGGCACTCGTAACCAGAAGAGTCACAGGCACGTTGCCGACCTTTTAAGATGGAGTACGCTCATTTCTTGAAGGTCCGTGCGAGGCAGAAAGTTTCGAGAAAATGGCACAATTATTGATTGCCAACCATCAATGTGAAGGGGATGAAAATGTTGATTACTCACAGTTTGTTCAGTATCACAGAGATGGTTCTTGTAGATCTCCTCGGCGTACGAGAGGTACTTGTTAGTCTTCTCCTTGATCAGCGCCCGCCGCTGTGGGTCCGTGTCATCTGTCAACAAGTAAATAACCATTTTAATATAGATACCTAGATACTAGCTGACCTGGCGAACTCCGTATCGCCTTAAATTTTGTTTTGGTCTTTTAAACCTTCTCTGGACTTCCACGAATAATTCAAGACCAAAATTAGATAAATCGGTAAAGGAATTGTTGAATATTATAAAGATGCAAAACTTGAAGTTTCTAAGTTTGTTTGTAGGGGGTAATCTTTGGAACCGCTGGTCGGATTGCCAAAATTATTTCACCGATAGATAGGTACAATGTTCCCGAGTTTTATAGGCTATAAAACATCACGCTACGACCAAATGGAGCAAGCAGCGGGTGAAACCACGCGTGAGTAGCTAGTATACATTAAGAAGGTCATATACAATACAAAGATGCACCAGTTCAGTGTGTACAAGACAGGGTCTTACGCTGGTATTTTAGAGAATCGCGAATGATAAACAGCCAAAGACAGGAAAAAACTGCACCTGGGTAGTTTCCTAGGTTCAAAAATAAATTATTTAGATTTTTTATACAATGAATTATTATTAAAATATAGTCATACTTTCTTTCATTGACTTGATGATATAATTAATTTTAGACTTTAAATAAAAGTTCCTATGCTATTTAACGTTAAAACAAGATGACGTCCTATGTTTTGATTTCATAGAAAAGTACAGTTTTTGACATTTAAATAAAAGTATTGAATTTGACTAGTTGGAAACTACCTTATTAAGGACAATATTTAAAAAAAAACCTAGATTTTCGCCGAGAAAAAGCACTTAGTTTGGCCAATGTCAATACTAAGATATCAATCTGACATTATAAATACTTATTGGAGCAGGTGTTAGTACTTTAATACTGTTGTATAAGACTTAGTTTCTAAATCTAATCTAGCCATCTATCGTAGAACATTACATTATGACTAATAATACCTTTCTTGTAAACTTGTTCCTTCTATCTTCTGATAGTACAGACTAACAGTTGAGTTCAAAGAAACATGATAAACATTAGATTAGTTATTGAAACACATTACATTACATTTTGGTATAAAACAAAGCCGCTTCCCGATGTTTGTGTCTAAGTATGCTTAAATCTTTTTATTAAATTTATCACGGGGAGTGTTCTGAGGAATTGTTCGGTTTGATCCCCGCCGCATCTTTTCGCTATCGGTTCACGCGAAAACATGTTCATCCCCATCACATAGATGGTTGGCAGTCAACAACTGTGCGATTCTCGCGTAACTTTCTGTCCCGCACAGCAAAGCTTTGGAAGGATCTTCCGGCGGCGGTATTCCCGAACTGATACGACCTTCAAACCTTCAAGAAACGAGCGTACTCCTTCTTAAAAGGCCGGCAACGCACCTGTGACTCCTCTGGTGTTGCAGGTGTCCATGGGCGGCGCCGATCGCTTACAATCAGGTGAACCGTATGCTCGTTTGCCTCCTATTCGATTAAAAAAAAATTTTTTCTTCTTCACGCAAAGTGAATGGCGGTCTTAATGCTGTTATACTGCAAACTACGTAATAGATTTTGATACGTTTACTTTAATAGATAGAATGACTCAAGAGCAAGGTTTAGGTTTATAATACGGTAGTTTTAAGCTACTCAAATTCAATTCTTATTAAAATGTTAAACCGTGAGGCACGTGGACAGGCAGTGGACGACATCCTAATAATTAATTCTGTAAAGTTATCTACAGTTAATCAACCATTCAGAAATCTAAACGCAGTAACATATGTTTTTTTTCGATCACATTTTAACGTGAAAATAACTAAGGTAACATCCTGTAAAAGATACTACGATAAATGTACATGATAAACTATAACTTCGCGATCAGATCAACAAAACAAAAGAGAAAAACTAAAAATAAATTAAAGCATAATAAAATCAATAATTTTATCAAAATCCGTTGCGTAGATGCCTAGATATGAACTAACCCTTTTATATTGTTCAATATAATCGATATTTGATAAGATTACTTTATATGTATTTACCTATGTGCGTTAGTAATGCGGATAACATGTTATGTGCCGCCTTGTAACAATAAAACTACAATACATTATCTTTTAATAATAACCTTTAAAAATATATGTATATCTATTTCATAAGATTAAGCTATGTTTGTAAACGATACGGTATCTTCTACGTAATAATAAGCGTTTCAGATACTAGGTACAAGCAAAAAGAAAAAGACACAAAAATAACTATAATAATACATATAGTGCTGAAATTCATAATCGTTCTTATTTTAAAATATCTGGATTGCAGGAACTTCATACAGCTTATGCATATGTCCAAAATCAATTATGAATGAATATCAGTCAGGGTTTCGGGTACAGGAGAAAGAACGGGGTGTTTTTTAGTCAGTCAGAGTCAGCCACCTCTTTTGCCTTACCCAGGGCAGGAGAAGATACTAATGGAATTTCTCCCTTTCTCTCTTACTCAATTGCACAATTGATTTAACTAAGTAAGCTTATGAATGAAAAATATCTATTGTATTAATGTTGTCAGTCTTGACACTAGTGAATTTCTATTCTATAGACATACCTACCTCTATTCATTTCGTTTTCTTTATTATAAATTTTTATTCTATCGAGAACTGATGAACCGTTTTCGAGTTTATTCTTCGTAACCGACTCGATGACTTGTCGGTAACCATGTCTATTATTTTGAGCCCCGGCCATGACTCGAAACCAGTCGAGTAACCTCGAAAATTGTTCATTATGTAAATAAATGAATTGGGTAAATAAATAAAGTATGACGAATATACTAACCGAATCCACAGGATTCCATAAGAATGTCAGGTTCGTGGGTTGATTCGATACTGTCACATTTTTCATATGTCCTCATATAGTAACATAGATGTAAGAAGTCCATCTTAACCGACTTCATACAAAGAAGATATTACTATTCATTGAACATATTACTCAATAGTTTGCAACTTTAGACTTTATATTAAAAGTCATTAGGTACACAGTCACTCCAATTTTCGTTTTAAACACTGAATCACAATGTCACTTAATATTGATTTGCACTAACATTAGGTCATAAAAAGTACGACAGATAAATAGATAATACACGATTAGATACTTTATTAGTTTTGTAGAATTTAATATATTTTTCAAGAAAAGAAATGCGTACCACGTGACCCTCGTTTATTTATTTAAAAAAATAGTGGAACCTAACATTAAATTATACTATAACACTTTTATGCACAGATAGAATATTGAAATGAGAAAATTTAAACTTATTCACACACAAAAATTAAAATCTTATTTATTAACGAACGTGGGCACTTTGTCACAACGCGAAACACGTGTTATCGCGTCGGCGACTAACGCGCTACTGATTCATTCCAATATTTAGTTTATCGCTTACTTATCTAAAATAGATAGTCTCGTCTAACGAAAAAAAAAATATTCATGAACTCGTTAAGGAAAGAAGATAATCTCATAATGTAATAAATGATAGTGAGAGAGGTCAATGTACTATGCCCCAGCTGCCGCAGTAGGCGACACTTTGAGCGTCGGGGATCTCCGACGAAGCGAAGATCTCCGGCCACCGTATAGGCGCGGCGCGGGTATGCGGACGTAGAGCAAGGGTAGGTCGCCGCCCGACAAGAACTAGACCCGAGCGTTCGTCGAGCGTTTCAAAGATCCAATAGGTAGGGCCTATTAGGGCCAATAAGTTACCGCGTCCTAGACTGAAGCAGGAGAAGGAATGAGGGGAGGGTAGTCAGTCGAATCTGACACTTCCACTTTTGCCCAAGGCGGATTGGTGATTTCAAACTTATAATTTGAAATTATAAGTTCAGATTTATTCACGATGTTTTCCTTCATTTATGAGTCGTTCTACAAGAAGGCTTATTCTTTATTAATTAGAAAATAAATATCATAAGGTTTAATTAGAGATAATCACTATAATAGTAACGATCTATTACCAAGTGTTGCACAACTTGAGTGAGTTTGCGCCAATATTTGCCATTTGATAAGACATTCGATTAGTTTTATGAGTAGTGTGGTTTATTGGCAGCACGGGTGATGCAATGGGTGACCAAACGGTTGGATCAACTCTTTGTGTGATGGACAAAATGTTGAAATTCTGGGTCTGGGTGTGATGTGTATTTGTTTGGTTGTAAATGCATCCACAACACAGGAACACGCCCCAGCCACCGCAGTTGGTGACACTCCGGGCGCCGGGGATCGAGAAATGATCTCCGGCCACCAGACAAGCACACCCGAACGTACGGTGGGTAGCGTTCCGCGCGCGCCTCAAAGAGCCAATAAACCACCAGTGACGGAGCCCTATAGGGCTGATGTTCAGCCAGGGTTGCGGCTTGCGGAGTAGGCGCAATGAGGCGCCCAGGCATCGGTCTAAAGCAGGAGAAGTAACGTTGGGGTTTTTAGTCAGTAAGAGGCTGACATTCTCTCCGTCAGTAATTTGATCATTTTCCCCTAAAAAAAAACTCTAGAGTAGGACAACGTTATTTATAAAAAAAGTCACAAGTTTATTTTTGTCATAAAATATTACTGTAAATTAGTATCTAATGATTGTCGCTAATGAGTCGTTAAGAATCGTAGGACCAGTTATTAATCTGACGGGCGATTGGCCATTATGTCGCCTGGTGGTAAACGATAATGCGACCTATAATGGAGCATGCCTACCCATATGTAACCTATTAATTCCTCCCTTAAAGGTAGACAGAGAACCCTACCCTTCGGGAAACATCTATAGACAACTTTCTGGTAGCTTTTTACTGCGTTTCAATAACAAGTTAAAGGGAGCAAATATTGTACCATGGTCACAATACACCATGGTTTTTCACAAGTCCATACCAGTTAATAGTTATTTCTATTTCAATGGTGCCTGTATGTTTTTTTTTGGAAATTTGGGAATGAGTATCAGTTTCATAGGTACTTACTTTGTACACCAATAAGCATCTTCTCAATACCAGACTTGTAACACTCGAAGGCTCGCTGGTAGTCGCCCATATCCTCGCACCGCGCCGCCAGATTCAACATATACCCAGCTTCGAACACATAACTATCCTCCGTCTTCGTCTTGCACTCCGCGTTAGACAAGGACACAACACTTTTACTGTACAAAGACACTCGCGAACTACTTCGTCTAGAGTCCACTTCGCACGAAGTTGAAGAACAAACATTAGATGTAAGAGACACTGTATCACAATCATCATATTTTGAAGTTGACGGTGCATCAAAAATTATTAAGTCTGGCAACACTGATTTAGTTTTGACACTAGGCTTTTTATCCACTGTTAGTTTGTTTAGTTCGTCATAGAGGTCACTGTCGATGCTTTCTATTGAGTTTATGGATTCGAAGCTGTCTGTTGGGGAGACTTTTTTTGGTGAGCGTCGGATCTCGACGTCGGCTGCTTCGTAGATGGGTATCTGTGATATGAAGTCGGGTTCGTCTCGACTGGTGATGGAGGCGTGCGAGGATTCTGTGGCGGCCCGTGCTGCAATATTATGATAATGAGATGAGATTACTATACTATATTTAGTGCTATTGTGCAGGACATTACAAACAGATGAAGAAAATGTTATCTAGTGTTGATGGTCTCCGCGGCCCCGTATCAGGAGCAGGAACGGGGACAGTAAGAGTCTGACATTAGCCTCATCCAGGGAGGCAGCAGACATTTAAACAATGCCCAACCCTAGGACATTGTCCTGTGTCATGGGTGCATTTACAAACATACAATTTCACATAAACATAATAACCAGCACCGTAACAACAATATTTGGATCACACAAAGAGTGATCGTGAATTAAATTCGTTGCACGTTTTTTTATGTGATAGGTCGGCAAACGAGCAGACAGATTACCTGATGGTAAGCAATCAGCGCCGCCCATGGACACCCATGGCAACAACAGAGGAGTTACGAGTGTGTTGCCGACCTTCTGGGGGTTAGGGATTTGGGAAAATTAGGGATTTGGGGAGGGGAAGCACGTTGCATGGCGGCCGGGTTGCCATACTTGCCATGCAACGTGTTTCGGTTTCTACGTAGTCTTAGACGGTCGCCGCGTCAACGGAGTGAGTCACTACTAACTAAATTGAGTTAATTATACCTAATGATCAGTAGTATGTACTGCTATTTTTATTTAATTTTCATATAAATTCAGTAAATCAGCAGGCAGTTCTTCTGTTTGTGTGTTAGCCTCGTATAAGTAAGATGGAATGGATGGATTTATCATACATCTAAGTACTATTATAAATTAAAAGCAAAGAAATGAGACAGCTATTAAAAATTAATTATACTAGCTAGGTATGTGACTTGTTTTAAATGATAAATTGATTGAGCGTAATGTATTTGTGTAAATGAGTGAATTAGTTACATAATGAGATTCGATGACAGACATTCGAATAATAAAGAATTATTGACATGTTTATAACTTAGACTTGAACAAAATGTTCCAATGGAGTTTACGCGGTACATGAAGATTTCGACCTTATTTCATATAGTAGGTAATTATCGTGAGGCAAACTAAAATTAATTTATAATAACGACTTAGGTAGGTACTCACGTGACATAGCTAAGAGAAGTTCTGCTCGTTTCAAGTCACAGCGAGACACTTCAGCGACCCGCAGACAGCTCATAAATAAGAGTCCCGTTGTGACTTGAAACTAGTCGAGCTTTTCTCAGTTCATTCACATATAGTATATGTAGTATGTTATACACATCACAGATTTTTAACATTGGTTATTAGTCAGTATCGCATACGGAATACCGTGATACGTTCCAGAACAGGAGTCACTATGGGGGGTAAAAGGCGGCAATATTTAAATGGGTCTGGGCCGGACACGTCAGTCGAATGTATCCGAAGAGATGGGCCACTATTGTCACCCAGTGGACACCTAAGGATGGATGCCGCAGGCGGGGTAGGCCCCGGAAACGATAGCGTGGCGATCTAGATGTCGAGACTGGTGGACACGGGCGAAAGATCGGTAGTTGTGGAAGCGAGATTTTTGAGAGCCTTTAGTTGCCCAGCAGTGGTACACTAAAGGCTAGTAAAAAAATATATGTCGGTATCGGACACTACCTCTCACCTTACCCAGAATCGGAAGAGTCATTAAACCACCTTAAAAATGGCAAGCAAAGTAAAAAAAGGTTTTAGGTGGGAGAGCCATCCTTGGGGACAAATGGGTCGGCTCGACCTGAGTGATACCACGGCCTCACTGATAAATGGCGCGAAACAACCACAGCGTTCACCGTTTCACCGTGTGAGGTTTGCCAAATATGTGTATGGGAGGCTCAATATATCAATGTATTGTGTAAGATCTTCTTAAAATAAAAGGCAGGCAACGCACTTTTAACTCCTCTGGTGTTGCAGGTGTCCGTGTCTGGCGCTGATTGCTTACCATCAGGAGAGGCGGGTGCTCGACTGCCAAAAAAAAAAATTGCAAATACTACCTGTATGCGTAGGACTGGAAGTATCATCGTCATCAGTCTGGTATTCAAGTGGGGGAGTCTCCTCAATGGGCAGGTGTAGGGACGATCTGATCGCGTTAATCACTCCGCCCGCTTGTGGCTGCGGTTCAGGGTACCCGGTCTGGGAGGTAGAAAGGATTTTGAATTCAATTTTCATGCCATTAAGTATCAATTTACAGTGGCGTTTTAAGAAGTAACGTGTTATTGGATTTTGTATTCAATTCTCACCCAAATAAAGATCAAATCACAATGCTTTTAAAGTTAAAATAGTACGTGATCGTACGCTTTAGAAATAAGTTCTTACGCCGCCGATTAGAATCGATTTACCTTGCCCCCAACATTTTTGAAGATTTTGTATTCTATGTTGATATGATTAAAGATTAATTTACAACACTTTTTCTGTGCTGGATGTGCTGGAAACATCCAAACAAATTATGGATCTTTTATTATCCAATTAATCCTGTACAGCACACAACGGATTTAGATGAAATATAGGACTTTTTTCCTCATTGATTTGATTATAATTATTTGCTATGTAATCGAAGTTGTAAAAGTCAGTAAGGACTAAGAATTTTTTGTTTTTATATGGGTAGGCATTTGGCCGCTTTTAAGCCTGGTCGTAAGCGATGATACGACCTATGATAGAGCAATCTTACCCATAAGCAACATATTCACTCGGGCCTTGATAACACCCAGGGTACATTCTATTCCTTAGCGGTTCTGATAATAAAACTGAAGGCGAACCGCTTCGTTCATTTAAGTTGGATATCCTACTAATATTATAAGTAAATGTGAAAGTTTGTGAGAATGGATGTGTGGTGTGTTTGTTATTCCTTCAAGCAAAGACGGATGGACCGATTTGGTTAAAATTTGTTTGTGTTAATCCAAGGTAGATAGCCGATCGCCCGCGGGGGACTGGACGAAATGGATTCCCTCTACTTAGGCGAGGCCGGAGTGCCACTGGGTTTTTTAGTGGGTATACCGGGAAGGACTTTACCGGGGAGCCCTACATAACTCTCTTCCGTCCCCGGATGGGAAGGGTATGTGTAAGAATTTCATTTTTCCCAGTGCCACTAAAAAAACCCTGGATTAACACATAGGCTAGATTGTATCTAACTAGCCAACGATAATGAGATGTCTTTTTGCCAATTTTCAAGAGGTAGAAATAAAAAAAATAACGAAATACTGAACTAACCTGTAGGAAGTTGACGAAGTCAGTGCTAGTGAACAGCAGACGATGCTCCGCCACAAACTCCAACAAGGACTTTATTGTCTTGGCACGCTCCGTGATCACCTGTAATATTTTAGTGGCATTGTTATCAGAAAGTCAAAATCCAGTTACTTATTACTTTCGTCGGGGACCAAGGGACGATCTCCGGCCACCGTAAGCGCGGGTCGGCGGACGGCAAGTCAGGACAATTCGCCGCCCGACCAGATTCACACAGAAAACTGGCGTGAAACTACTGAAACCCTACGAAAAACTAAAAACCGAAACAACACTGTTTCGCCGTGCGAGTGGGGTTACCATAGTCCAAATCTGTCTCCCCATTTCTTGAATCCCTAAAAGGCCGGAAACGCACTCGTAACTCTTCTATATAGTGTTTCGGATATCCAAGGGCGGCGCCGATTGTTTACCAATAGGTTATAGATTCTGCATCACATAAACAGACAGACATGATCATTTTTAAGGACTACGGATGTTGAGACTTATTTTGAAAAGGAGGACGGCCTCGCCTCATACTCCTTTTTGGGGTCTGTACTCAACGTGCCGCATTGTTTAATTTTCAATTAAATTAAGCTTTTAATTCTTTGTCAATATTGCTATAGATTTTGATTGCTTTTTTCCAGTCGATGAATTCCAAAGTTCTAATAAATCATTCTATCTACTTATTTAAAATCCGTATCAAAATCGGTCACGTAGTTTTAAAGATCTAAGCATATAAACGGATGGACAGTGGGAAGCGACTTTGTTTTATACTATGTAGTGATGGTGTAGTTAGATTTACTAGCATGGCTGACTGATACTATTAAAGAAATTTACTCAAATGTTCTTATAAGATAAAGCATAAAACTACTGATTATCATCCAGAAACAGAACAACAGAACTTATAAAGTCAAAGTCAAAGTCAAAACCATTTATTCCAACTTAACCATAAATAGGTACTTTTGAAACATCAAAATAGAAAAGTAGTCTGTCAGTCTGTTCGTCAGTGAAGCTAGGTATAAGAAAAATAACAACTAAAACATACCTCTTGCTGAAATCTCTTGAAGAAACTGTATCGAGGTAGAGACGGGAATGTGCCCCGCAGGTGTAGTCCTGCATGCAGGGAGCGCATACTCTTGTGCAGTCTCTGGACATCACTGTACCGCTTCCATACCGACACTACTGTCAGAGCCTCCGGAGACTGGATCGGGAACAGCTGAAATTATAAAGATGCGAATCAAAGGAAATATTCATTCATAATAAATGAAGGACTAGACAAGACTAATAAATCTCTAAGCATTGGAATTGACAAGTTAATAAATCTCTAAGCATTGGAATTATGGTCTATGTATAATGAAGTAAATATATATTGGAAAAGAAGACAAGGCAATGATGTCACAGAAGATACTTATGTCTGATTGAGGATTGGTTGTGAATTGAATATAAAAATAGAATATGGATTCAGGTCACTGCATCATTTGTGAACAAAGTTAGAGGTAGCCTCTGTATGCTATTTCAAAACTTACACTATCAAAATAAATACATAATACATAACATTGATAAAGGTTTAATTTCTGCCTAGAACTTGTTTATGTGTTCAGTGTGAATCAGATTTGTAAAAAAAGTTATTAAGATTAACAAAAAACAGTTTCTATACACAGCTTTAGCTGCCATTCCACAAATAAACTAAGAACTTGAGCAATTTCCACAACGATTATGCCAGCCAGTAATAAAAACTACATTAAAAACAAAACTGATTGGTTTCTATGCAGTTATGCAAACTTTAATCACCTATAAACCCAGCAGGCTTAAGCAGTTGGGGACTGTAATTTAATTATTTCATCATTACATTTTTGAGTTTCGGGATATTTTTAGACCACCATTATCATGATTTTATGTTATTTTTTATCCTCACAGTAACTGTTATTATTATATTATATACAAGGAAGTAAGTTACCTAATTTTAGACAAATTATTACAACAAATATCCCTAGCATGAAGGTCCTATTATTTCTTTTGTTTGCATACAGAGTGGAATAATGTAAAGAGAAATAACAGCGATAGGAATGTTCTTGTTATCTATTCAAATAATTGCAATATTGTTATTGATATATTTTATAACTTTATGAGGTATTTATAAAGTTTAATATTTATAGCTATAACAATAATTGGTAGATAGTTTTCCATGCCAGCTGTGTGTCATAGACGGTCTGCAAAAAAATAAAATTGATAATTTATGGATCATGCACGTGAATTTTGTGGAAAAAATTAACAATTTGTTTTGAAAATGATTTTTAACATTACCTTTGACTGATTTTAATGGTATGTCATGCTCAACTAGTACCAAATTGCAATAAAATGTGAAATAAAACTTTGTTATTGTGCAATTTGATGAAACATTTAGTTTTTCTAAATTTTAGTTTTTAGAATTTCATTTGTAATATAATAAGAAATTATTATTTACACCAGGCACTTGAAATTTCTTATTCAGCTTTCTTTATTTTACCATTCACTTTGCCCTAGATATGTAAATATTCAATAGTTCAAAAAGTAAGAGGAAAAAACTGATTTGGATAAGTATTTACGAGTCTTAGAGCTCTTGGATATCTAATACCGTGTAATTCATATGATAAATTAGTGAAATTAATATTTACCACAGAAGTAATCTTGTAAATAGTAAATCCATTCTTGTGTTTTGCTGTTTCGTCCACCGAGAACCGGCGTACCCACTTATCTTTAGCCGACATTGCAATATTGTGCCAGTTTAATAATAAAACTCTAAACTATCACATCACTGTTATTCAATAAAACGAATCGTACAAAACATTTAGATAATATTTGCCACAGCAATTATGTGGAAATATCTGAATAAACGCACACAACTCAGTAATCGAATTGTCGATTATTGTGTGAGGCAAGGCAACTGAGAATAATATACAAAAAAAAGTTGCATTCGCATACGCGTTCCAGCGCCACCTGATAATGAAATGTCAAATTTAAACTGTCACTTATGTCATTTGGCTGTTTCTTTTTTCTTATAAGACTATCTTTTATCTCTTTCTAATAAGCATGACATGATTTATGCATAAAGACATGTGTATTATTTTTATTCTTTGTTTATTTTTAATGTCAACCTAAATATAATCTCTTTCGTGAAAGACAAAAAACATTCATATAATATCTGGTAAATACACCCTCCTCTTACATAATATTTAAGGCAAAGACATCAAATAACAATAAAATTCAAAAGTTAACAGGCTTCGCAGACTATGAAAATTATTCGATATTCGATATTCAACGAATAATATTATTTTTACACGACTGCACCTCAAGTTTTTTTATTTTCAAGAGAAACAAGGCACAAACGTAGCTGTTGTGTAGTAGGTACTTATCCTTTGTATTTATTTTCAACAGATGTCATTAATATCTGCACCTGCATTGTTTCATTCCAATGCCTAGATAGCGCTTGTGTAGCTTTTTGCACAATAAGTAAGTTTGTGCGACAAACAGTGAAACATATTTTTATTTCTTTTTTATGATGTCCGGAATATGTTGTGTAATTATTTTTAGTAGATTATATCCAATGAAAACTGTTGTAATAAGTAAAAAGTAAAGATATTACAACGCGAAGGCGATAGGTCAAGCTTGAGGCTTCATTACATATCCCCCACTCTTGACTCACTTAACCGAATGGCGCGCGGCGAGAGGTTGTGCCAACTTGTGTTTCGTCCGTTCCGTGTCGTGTTTCTCGCGTCCTCGAGTACTTTGCAATAATACTTTTCCTTCGAGACATGAATGGGTTCAGTGCTGCGTTAACAGACAAGCCTTAAGAACGCTTGTGCAAAGGCTATATTGAAAAAAATGTGTTATCAATAATAACGTGTGACCACTTTTTGTGTATAGTGTTCGAAAAAGTTAAGTAAACAACCGGATATCAACAAGATGGGTTCAAAAATCGAGTACGTGGATTCATCACATTTATACGCGACCAACTATGTCCGCAATTCGAAAGCTATCGGTGTGCTTTGGGCGATATTCACGATTTGCTATGCGATTATAAGCGTTGTGGCTTTTGTGACCCCCGAGTGGATTGGTGATTTAGAGACTGAATATCCGAGAAAGTTTGGATTGTGGCAGATATGCAGGGCTGACGAGGCTCTGGAGGACTGTAAAGGAAGGCTCGATGATTTCCTATCAATAAATGGCTTGGTGTTTAAGATTGCGACTGTGTTAGTAGGCATAGCGGTCGCCCTGGCCCTGTTTACGATCTGTGCAATGTTGTTATTCTTCTTTTGTCAATCGACGACGGTGTTTCACATCTGTGGTTGGCTGCAGCTGTTGTCTGGTAAGTTTAAGACTTAAGTGGGCAGTACTTGCCTGCATTAATCACTACACTTATATTGAGTAACTTAAGCTTTTCTAATTAACGATATGTCACCACATCTTATCTATCGAATAGAAAGAACGGTAACGTATATACCTAATACAGATTTCGTAAACCGGTTTTCTTAAAGAGGGTAGTGGCACAACAGACTCCATAAGTGTCATTTTTATCGACTTGAAAATTGGTGGTAATTTGTCCTGAGTGAAAGTTTTGCATATATACTGGTAGTCTGACCTTGGTCCGTGTTTGTAGTTAGACAAGTATTGGGGCGAATGTAAAGGAAATGCAACAGTTTGTAGGATAGACAGGTGGGGTGCGGGTGCAGGGTCTAAACATCCGGTACAGGACAGGTGCTAGACGCCAGCATACCAGCCTCTTTATCCCGGTACCTGCTAACGGCAAAAATGAAAGGCGTTTAAAATGCCAAAGTTGACGTGACTAACAAGTTAACAAGTGAGGACATTGGACCTCCGTTTATACACAGACTATTGAATTCAACAATGAATTATTCGATGACGATAAAATACCACGCCTCTTATTTTCAATGGTGTATTGTTTGTTTCGTATTTTGTACGTAAAACGTATTTTTTTGTAACATCAGAATTCGTAACCTTATTAAATTAAGGTTTACTTAGATGGAAATACGCAAGTGCATAGATTGGACACACCCTGTATTTTTACTAGTTGTAGCTAGATGTGTTTGTATTAATTCTACTTATGCTGCAACTAATAAAGCGTAAGAGAGTTAAGCTTCATGTTACCCTAATCTGCGATTCGAATCAATACACTAAACATTAGCTTCTTACTGTAATGATTCCAGGGCCGATTTTAAAAATGATATTTATTGAAAGCTTCTTAAAGACATTGCAACTCGTGATAAAAACTCACATAGGTACATCTAATGTCAAAAATATTCATTACTAGCTAATGTCGCGCGGTTTCAGTCGCTGCTCGGCTCGATCGCAGTGTAATTTTTATAAAATATTAAGTTAAAATCATGAACATATTCATGATTTTAACTTGACGTTTCAAAAGCACTTGTTTCGTTGGATCACTAAATGATTTTGACTTTGACTCTTGGTATTTCAACTATAAAATAAAGGCATCCACTAAACTATTTTTATTAAAGGCAATTAGGAAGAGGAAACTGACAAAACTAAACTTAATTACGAAGATTATACTAATACCTGCATACCTACCTACGCAGTAGGTAAGTATATATGTATATATCCCATTCTTTGAATACGATACTTCTTAGAGTATCAAATATCATCGTTGACTGAACATAATCTGCTTAAGAACTAAGCACAAGAGCCTACTCACTGTAAAATTTTATCCAATAAGTTACCGCCAAGTCGAAGGTAAACCGAGTATCACGCCTTAGAAAAAAATATGATAGTTATGTAGGTACTTAATAGGTAATGTACCGTGGCCCCGCTGGCCTGGAGCAAGAGCCGAAACGGGGTGAGTTTTACTTAGTAGGTAAGAATAGAAGCTCCTTTTCGCCACACGTCATTAGGTCATTTAAAAATTTTCCCGCCACAGAGAAAAAAGTACCATACATATTATAGTCCGTAGGCAGGGTGACTAAAAAAATTGCGGCTTCAATGTCATTAAAAAGGTGACAGAAACTTTTGGAACATTTCGATTACTATTTTTATGGTCAGTCACGGATTGAGAACATAGGCATAGTTAGGTACTCAAGGGCAAAATTGCTACCTACCATATCAGTCACAAAGCGTCTATTCTGAACCATTCCTTGGTAGCTTCAATGGTTGTAATAAAATAACAAAACAAACCACCACAAAATATCTTTATAGAGTACCTAATTTTTATTAATGCCTTACTCTGATACAGGTTTTGGCACTCCTTTCGCTACTCCTAAACTTATGTAGAACCTTATATATAAACCTACGTATGTATATTAAGTATAAGTACTTAATGTGCATACCGTCAGGTATCCGATGGAATTCTCCTCATACGGAAAGGCGTGCCAATATAACTACCGTCGAAAGTATAGACAATTTCGCAAATATTGGAACTTTTTGATTAGAAACTTTAAATGCAACGCCAATTTCTTTAATCTTTAAATGCGAACAGATAAAAAATGTTAGCAATATGGATTAAATTGAATGAGTAGCTCAATTTCTTTACTCCAAATGGCTCCAATTATCAAAAAATCGTTCACTAGAAGAAATTGAATTAGATAGTGCCAATTTATCTGCAACCGCGTGAGTAATAGCGAACGAAACCGGTAAAACGCCTTTGTCATGCAACAAATATTTCATACAAAAATGAAGCTCAACCTGTAGGTAATAGGTATGTTAAAGAGTTATTACGATTTCTGCAGTTATTAACTGGTTTGTAGATGTAATTTATTGTACTTACCGACGTAGTAGGAAAGTAATCCAAAGATTTCATTTTTATAGTTTCTTTTTTTCATCGAATGGCCATAGATAACAAAATAACCTTAGTCTACATCTATCCATCATTTAGACAGGTTACAAAATCGATTCCACATTGTAATACTACATTTTAAGAGCAATAATGCGATTGGAAACAGTCATTGATGCGCACGACCTGCGTTAACATAATATCGCACAATTGCCAATGAAGCCCCATGTATGTCCGACCTCATCAACTTGCGAGTTCACTTCACATAAACCGCTACGTGACCGGAAAAAAAGTTGCGCGGAAAAAACACAGTATACGTTTGTTCAAGAGGAACGGAGAACTAGATTTTCTGCGATGTGTTAATTGGAAGCTGGGAAATTGCAACTGTTTCATGTAGGTAGGTACTAATGTGCTAAAGTAGCTTTCTATTATTTAGCGTTACTTTAATTTTTCGAATGTCTTAATCGACATAAACTACAAAAATAAAAAACACAAAATCGTGTCTCCTTTGACATAAAACATTCAAACGTTACTTATAAAAATTGTTGGCAACAATCATAAAGATTTGATAATTCTCACAAAAGCGTACCTAAATTAAAATTACTTTTGTTAAAGCAATCTACACATTAAAACCAAGGCCGCTTCTCGTATAATTTCGAATATTCTGATCTAGATTGTAACGATTATTCTGTCATTGAACACAAAAGAAAATTGCGTAAGTAAGTATAAAAAGTTAAAGAGCTAAAAATAAACTGCTATGCACGTACAATAATTTTGCCGCCTAATCCCATTTAACGTCATAAAAAGTAAAAGTCGTGTACAATTGTCTATGATATAATAATGGCGGACATTCAAGTTCCGGGCCATATACTACAAACCACGGCGCTACAATTAAAATTGTAAGCATTTATTTATTTATTACCTACGCTTAAATTATACGAAAAAAATGCTTATTTGCTCATGAAATGGTAATTGGGGCACCGTCTATTATTAAGATTAATTTTCTAAGGTAAATTGTTAATTTAATGCTATAAAATATTACATACTGCTTTGTTAAGGTATACCTAGTGCAAACTTGAAGCTTGACAGGATTGCAAGTGTCATTATTAATTGACATCGTGGGAGCTTCACTCGGTCGTTGCTCTTAATTTGAACGCTTACCAACAAATTATTGTAGCTGACGGTACTTATATTAAGTACCTAGGTACTTATTTCAAAGCTATTTTTGAGATAAATTAAAGTACCTAATTGACATTGGTACGGGAACTTTTTTTATCGATATCAATACCTACTAATATTATAAAGAGGTAAAATTTTTAAGTTTGTATGTAGGGGTAATCTTTGGAAATGCTGGTCGGATTGCCAAAATTCTTTCACTGATAGATAGCTGCAATGTTCCTGAGTGCTATAGGCTACAAAACATCACGCTAGGATTAAATAGAGCCGAGCAGCGGTTGAGAATAGCTAGTCTTATATAATAGAGGAAAGACCAGGGCAGGTTCGAAACGCAGAACATTGGTTATTATAGGTATTAGAGGTGGTATGGAGTTGTCAGGGTCAGCCAGTAACAAATAAAAATTGGTTCACAATTAAATTGTTTAGAAAGTTTGTAGGTTACAATAAATTTGTTAGACATTGCTATTACGAAATCTTTTTAATGTGAAACAATTACGATTGCTTTTGTAGTTCTGAACTGAAAGTAAGTACTTACTCACCGATTACGTGAAAAAGGTTTTAGTTGTAAATTATATTCGCTTCAAATTGTGAAACCGTTTTCACTTCGTCCCATATCGAATGATCTGATGATCATTTAGAATCGATTATACGAACCGTAGCGATAAACATCGAGAGAATTTTGTTTAATGGACTTGTAACAAAGTAATACTTGTACTAGTTTAAATTTTAACTAGAATATGTTTATAATTTTTTTCTGGTGCTAGTGAGTCAAAGATTTAGGAAATCTTATGGATGGCTCAAGAAAATTTAGTAGGTACTACAAACGCAGTTGTTAAACTTAATCAAGTAGCAACTAAATACTCAAATCAAACTATTTGAACGGTCTTCATGTTCTTATTCGGCGGTGTATCGCCATTTGAGGTTACAAAAAGGTTCAAGCATGGAGTACATAAACATAGGCACTCCGTTAAAATGATTTAAAAATGTAACAGGCGATTTGACAAGTTTTTTTTTAAGATTTTTGACAAATTGTCCTAATTTTAGCATTGTTGGGGTGGGATAGCATTTTTTAATGATTTGTTTTCGAAAAATATTATTTTGATTTTGATATTTATATTATATTTATTTTGATAAGTTATTTACTTGAAACCAGCTTTTTTAGAGTATTATTTGAACATGGATGTACTTACAACATTGCCTGACGATGATATGTGTCCTAAGGTTACTGATAAAATGATTGGTGCTTTTGTTAAGGCGTCACTGGATAAGCCAGAAGTGAGTAAAGAACCATTAGCAGAAGACGATAAAAAAACAAAGGGCGAGAACAAACATGAAATTAAAACGAGTGACAAACCAGAACCACGGTCACCACAACCTAGACCGATAGATGAAGATAACTCTAGAACTTCTCAAGTTGACCATGAGCTTCCTGCATTGAGACCAGGGCCTGATGGGAAAGTAGACTGGACACCGCTTGCTGAACTTTCCGGAACCAGGCCACCGGTCAATCAGTATTCGTTAAGTAGGTATTCACTAGGAGAATGGAGAAAACACAGTGAAAATGTATTAAACTCTGATGTAATTATTAAGTCCAACATCGTAGACTACAACGCCAAGACCTCTATGATGCAAGCATTCGGCACAATCGATAAGCAGCAGATGGAAAACAACAAGCGACTCAAACAAAAAGCTAAAGATATTTTCCGATGGAAGGTGGAAGTAGAGCGCGCTTCTAAAATGATATCAGAGGAAGTTGAATTATTAGAAATAGAAAGGCAGCGACTGAAAGGCGCCTCAAAAGTTTTAATGTTGCCTGAATCGATCTCTAGACAGTGTATCGAAATGCGATCATACAGAGCAGAGCCGGACCTAGTAGCGGACCTAGCCGAGGTGGAGCTCGTGAAAGAAATGAATCTAGTAAATGAAGTGAGAGAAACCTTAAAGACAACTTTGAATCAAATAGAAGAACAACTAAAGATCAATAAAGCAGCTAAGCACAGGATTGAATACGACTGGTGTGATAAATCTATGGCGTACAACGCAGATACTATCAATTTGAGTCTCAGCACCAAATCTAATACTATATTGTTTCGACCTGGATCTACGAGATATGGTGAAATGTCAGCGTCCCTGGAATACTGGGAGTACTTCTGCAGGGAAAACATCCAGATTACTGAAGCAGTGCGACAGAAGTCTGCTGACCTTAGGGGTAGTTTGAACTCCATTTTAATAAGTAATGGTCGAAAATTACGTAACCAAGCTGATAAAACCGATATGGCTTTAGCCGAAACTGTCGCTCTCACAACTGAATTGTATACAAAATTAAAGGAAAACTTAATAGCAACTTTGCAAAAAATTGCTGATATCGAAACTTTGATTCAAAACTTACAAGATGCAGTAAGGAAAACCGATGCAGCTATTAAACTTGCCCAAACTAGGCTGGATAATAGAAATAATTGGAGGCCTCATGGCGAAAGCGTGAGGGACCAACCGCACACAGGCCTGATCGAGGAGGTTAAGAAAATACATGAAACAGTCACATCCCTTCTTGGGCAGATAAAAAATGCGGAGAAAGTGAGACAAGATTTAATTGCGAAAAGAAATCAGCTGGAGAAAGATATCGCATCAAAGAATAAGACATTGACAATAGACAGAGAACGCTGCGGAATGGTGCGGTCACATTACCCGTCTGCTTCGGAACTGGCTGGTCTATAAAAATGGCATGTCACTCATTGTACTTACCACGCATATTACTTTTGTTTCGAGATTACGTTGTTATATATCGTTGTTTAAATAATATTATAACAAGCATATTTTGCATTTCATTAAGATTATATTTATATGGCACTCTATTTACACCCCTATTTACCATTGAAGTTTTAAGCGTATTGTGTTATGTCAAGTTGGGGGTTTATTAACCTGCTTGTATTAATTTCATATATAAGGACACAGAAATGAGGTGCGAAACATTTTGGGAGTTGCAATTCATGATAAAAGCTTAAACAAAAATTATAGCTCTTTAAATGTACAAGAGGCAGAACTTGGAACCCCATTGTCTACAGTTCAGTAGATACCATTCAAAAAGGTACGACTTTTCGGTCTGGCCACTAATTTTTACACTGATAATAATCTGTGCACTGAATTAAATAACCCATTACGAAAAAGAAAGTAACGTCAAATTTAACAATCAACACATTGTTTGATAGATAGATTTTGTCGTAAGTATTTTTCTTGTGGAAAATACTTAAATATTTTTATCGTAAAGTACGCAGTAATTTAAAGAAATTGTTACTGACCATGCCTCAACTAACATCGTTTCCTGACAAAGAAGAATGCCCGACGAAGAAGGAGATGGCAGCTTACAAGCTGTCTCAAAAGTCTCCTGTTCAGGCTTTGCAAGAAATAGAAGAGGCCAAGGAGCAACAGCGGGAATTAATGGTCACAGTGGATGCTCCCAAACCAGCTGAAGCCGCAGCAGCCCTTGAGAAGAAACAAGAAGAAATTAGACGAAAGACTCCAGAACTTGCGGGACAAGATGATTTTCAATATTTACCTAACTTAAGGCCTGGCCCAGACGGCAAGGTTGACTGGTCTCCTCTCGGGGACATGACTGGCACGAGACCACCTGTTAATAAATACTCTATAAGTCGGTATTCTCTTAATGAGTGGAGAAAACACAACGACGCTGTTTTAAGTCCAGATACTATAAATGAATCTAATATCGTACAATACAATGCAAAATCTTCAATAATGCAAGCATTTGGGAATATAGATAAGCAGCAAAATGAAAACGAGAAACGACTGAAACAAAAAGCAAAAGATATATACAGATGGAAAGTAGAAGTGGAACGGGCGTGTAGATCGATCACCCAAGAAGTCGAATTGCTAGAAATCGATAGACAACGACTAAAAGGTGCTTCTAAAGTACTGATGTTGCCTGAATCAATTTCTAAAGAATGTTTAGACCTACGTTCGAATCGATTCGAACCGGACTTGGTCGCCGATATAGCCGAACAGGAGTTGATCAAAGAAATGAAACTTGTTAACGAAGTCAGAGCTACAATCGAGCAAACTTTAGCTAAAATAGAAGACCAAATGTCGGTTAACAAAGCAGCAAAACATAGAATAGAGTATGATTGGTGTGACAAAACAATGGCATATAATACAGAATCTATTAATTTAAGCCTCAATACTAAATCGCCAACAATAATGTTTAGACCGGGCTCTACAAGGTTTGGTGAATTTAGCGCGCCACTTGAATATTGGGAATATTTTTGTCGAGAAAATGTTCAAAATTGTGAAGCAGCTCGGCAAAAATCGGCTGACTTAAGGGGCAGTTTGGACGCTATACTAGTGAACAATGGTCGAAAATTGCGGAACCAAGCAGACAGAACTGATATGGCATTAGCAGAAACTGTAGCTATTACTACAGAATTATGCACAAAACTGGAAGAGAATCTAAGAACTACGCTTCAGAGAATTGCTGACATGGAGGCTTTGATAGAAGATTTACAAGCATCTGTTAGGAAGATGGACTGTGCAATGAAATTGGCTCAAACAAGACTGGACAATAGAAATAATTGGAGGCCTCATGGTGAAAGCGTCAGAGATCAGCCGCACGTTGGTTTAATTGAAGAGGTGAAGAAAATTCATGAGACTGTGACGTCACTTCTTGGTCAACTGAAAAATGCTGAGCGATTGAGAGGCGAATTGATAAAGAAAAGACATGAATTGGAGAGAGCAATAGCATCGAAGAGGATGACTCTGAATATAGACCGGGACAGATGTGGCATTGTACGCTCTCATTATCCCTCTGCATTAGAGCTTGCTGGCTTTTGAGTAAGCAATGTTTTAATAACTTTAGGTTTTTCTCAAAAATGGGAGGTACGATACATTTGTCATTTCATTTTTACTTGGAATGTTGTATATTTTTTAGAATGTTGTCTATTATATTATTATGCGTTAAGTTTATATTTATTTCATTATCGATTGACTTGAAAACTTCGTTAATTACATTTGATATAGAAATCAAATGTGAGTTGGCCTCAATTTTTTGTTTCGTGCGAAGTTTGAGCGGGCTTCGGAGATAAGATTCTAAACTGTGTGAAAACTCAGCACTATTTTATGTAGCCATTACAAGTATGAAAGAGCTTACGTAAGCAATCGCATCACATTTCAGACATAACAATCGTGACGGAATGCCATTTGCCACAACCTTTCACTCTTTATTATTATTGTTTTGCACATCATTTACTCGAAGTACACTCATATCTGGCATCAAGATAAGGATTACAAACACTTTGCTTGCGTAAAATGCCAACATAACATTGTGAGTAGAAGCCTGCATTGAGTGCAACAGGTAGAACTGCTTTTTTATGACATACATACGTTGGCAAACGAGCGATGGGTTTAGGGAATGTAATATAAGGATTCGGGGATTTAGGGATTTAAGGTTTGGGGAGGAATGGGGGGAAACAGAATTGGGCTTCTGGTAACCTCACTCACATGGCGAAACACTCGCTGGTTTTCAGCGAGGGGTAGAGATGGTATCTACGCGGTCGAGACGGCCCATTCCTGCGGAAACATGGGTCTCCCAAACTTTAACTTTTGTTTCGGAAACTGTTTAGCTTGCATTATTGTAGCTTAGTAGTCAATTTGTTGACAAAATTTTAAAGATACTATTTGATTAGGCAGTTAAGGTAGCAATCATAAAACATGAAACTTGATTTTATGGAAGTTAAACATGAAATAACTCACAGTCCTGAAACCAGCAAAAGATAATAACAGTAAAAGTACAAAATACACGAGTTATAGAGGATTTAATGTTCATGGGTACATTTTAATACGGAAACGGAACCTTTAGCGTGTAAGTATCAAACCGCATCAAAATAAAAAACTATATGTACGTTATCATTTCGAACAATACAGGGTCCCACGAGCGATGAGAACAGAGAACAATACGCTACTGACCTTTGTATGAAGCAACCATTCTCCCATCACTCGCTGGAAGACAGTGAATCCCATAATTTGATCAAAGATACTTGCTGCTCAAATTACACAGAAGCTTTTTATCTTGAATTGAAACCGTTAGTTTTGTACGTGTGCAAAGATTGTAATCCCCCAATGATTGGTGAAAAGTAGTGTGTTAATTAGTTTACATGCTTTTATGGGTCTAAGAACAGTTACTACTCAGTGATACTGTTTATGCAGCCATTGGAGAAAGGAGTTTCTTACATATCTTACGCACAAAAAAGTCTTATCACAGAATAAATCCTGGCCACTTTATAAAAGCATTGAAAAATCCCACAGAGATACTTATGTCATTATGACAACATATTTGTTGTACGTAGCATAAGTAATTTTTATTTTATTTTTTATTTTTATACTGTTACGTTAAACTTCTTCTAAATTCCTGTTAAGATGTCAAATCCAACGGCTAGGAATATGAATAAATTAAATTGCCCCTATATCTGTCCGAACGCACCGCCAATTTTAGAAAAGTCAAGCTACTTGCAAGCTGGCCAGAAAAAGTCGCATGAAAATCCTTTCGCTTCTCCATATGTCCCAGGTTTAATCCAACCACCAGAGAAGAAATATTATCCTGCTGATGCACCACCGCACTACCTCCCTCAGCAGATGGATAGCACAAGTGGTGATATCCTCGGCATGGGACCCATCGGACCTTGGGCAGCTGGTCACGTAGACTGGACTCCTCAAGCTGGGATGACAGGTGTCCGACCTGTAGTGGACAAGTATTCCATCACACGATACTCTACTGGAGAATGGAGACGTAATAACTTGCACACTTTAACTCCGAGGGCGACCGACAAGGCTAAAGCTTTAGACGCCTCTATTAAAGGTGACATAGCAAAAGCTTTAAAAGACATGGATGACATGCAAAATGATAGTAATAAAAAATTAAAAGAAAGAGTCAAGAATTTGGCTCATTGGAAGAAACAGGTGCAGAATACACTTAAGGCTATAAGTCAAGAGATTCAAACCTTAGACGCTGATAGAGACAAGCTGAAAAGTGCTTGTAGAATCTTGATGTTGCCTGAAGCAATTTCTAGAGAGTGCTTGGAGCTCCGGACGTTCCGATATGAACCAGATTTGGTAAGAGACGATGCAGAACAAGAATTAATTAAAGAAGTGTCCATTGTTGGAGAAATAAGGAGAGTCTTCCAAGATACTCTAGCCAAGGTTGAAGTACAAATGGCGCATAACAAAGCGGCCAAGGCAGCTATTGAGTTTGACTGGAGCGATAAGATATCCACTTTGAAAATAGATAACCGAAATTTAAACTTGACATCTGAATCTAATCTAATACTCCATCATCCAGGGGTAGCCCGATGGCCGGAGAATGCAACATCTTTAGAGTATTGGGAACATTTTTGTAAAGAGAGTATCAGGAATTGCGAGGAAGTGAGAAAGAAGTCGGAGAACTTGCGAGGAGACTTAATGACCATTATACTAAAAGGATCCCAAGACATGAAAACCCAAGCTGATAGAACTAATCTTGCGTTAGCAGAAACAGTGTCTGCTACAGAGCAGCTTTGCGTTAAACTAGAGGAAACCTTAAAGAGCAATTTGCAAACAATAGCAGATGTGGAAAAACTCATTGATTACTTGAAGGAGTCTTTAAGGAAGGTAGACGAGCGCGACAAACTGTCTAACACTAGGTTACGCAATAGAAATTATGGGCGACCCCACGTAGAGAACTGCAGGGATGAAGCTCAGTATGGTTTGATGGCAGAAGCCAAGTTTATCAAAGAGACATCCGAGTCTTTGAAGGGTAAGTTGAGAGAGGCTGAAGCGGTGAGAGCGGAACTTATGAAGTACAGAGGTGAACTGGAGAAGGATATAGCTTGTAAAAGAAAGAGTCTCAATATTGACCAAGATCGAATCTCTAGGGTACGAGCACATTTGCCCACTCCAGAAGAATTTGCTAACGCTTGAGAACAGGATCTTTTTAAGGCAATATTAAAATTTATTGTAGGAAGTACGCTTTTTATTTAAAAATATTACGAAGCTAACAGTAGCTTATTTAGAATATAAGTAAAATGTCTGTAGCTGAGGATTCTCTGTCGTGTCTTACGTTACCACGTTAATGGCTTTATGTAAGAAGCTTTCAGGTTTATTGCGTGGTTTAGCCAACACATTTACCTGAGTGTTATGCTCAAGTATACTATACATATTTGATTTGTAACGTCACTCTTATAACTTCCTATAATTTTATTTACTGCCTGTTTGTAATTTGATTTAAGTTGTTGAGAACGTTATGATTTTCTGGTCAACTGGCAGGCAGGTTTTAGCTTTTTGTCAGTTTATCAGAAATGCACGATATTAGAAAGTATTAGATGTGAACTCTTTTTCAGCAAGCAATGTTGTCGTATGGCTTTTTCCGCCCTGAGTAAGGCAAGGTAATGTTATTTTGTTTTTTTTTTTAAGCTTTGCCCCACACTTTCGTTGGTGCGTTTAAAAACATACAATTTCACATACACATATCACACCCAGACCCGGAACAAGATTCAAAACCGCGACACGTTGCGCGGAAGCCAGTTGCCCAGCCACCGCACCAAACGTGCAGTCAAGTCAATACTCTTACTGATAAAAACTACCCTGTTCCTTCTCCTGCTCCGTGCTGTCGCTGCGGCATATCATTGCGCTTACACCCTCACCCAAGACTCGCTGTGGCAGTGTGGCATCTAATGCTGCAAGCATTTTCTATCAGCCTGTCAAAATTCGCACCAAACGCTTGTTTTCTCTGCACGACCCGTGCAGAGATGGTTGACTGTTATAAAATGACTTAGGGCTGATTTTTCAATAGTCCGAAAACGGGGGGTATTTAGTAAGTCAGAGTCTAAGACTCTCCCTCGCCTTACCGTGGGCGGGAGAAGTCATTGGATGATTTTGCCATGACAAAAAAAAAAAGGCAGTAGGTATGTCCTCCATTCACTATGTGATTTTTCTGTGAAGAAATATAAATAAATAAAATTGGGACGGTACAGAGGTTTACGCTTAAAGTGCTTTTCTGAAAATGATAATTGAGTTTTTTTTTTGCCTTACACAACAATATTCTTGCAATTATTTTTTCTCCAACTAATACATATACTTAATATTCTTGCAACTATTAGAGGTCTTTATAATAAGTAAATTGTTCACCGCACATTAATCTGATTTTGCACGTGTAGCAAGATTCTCATTCAGATTCATCCATTGTTGGGGTATTTGCATTCGCGGTTGAGCCACGTAGTACGCGCAGTACATGCGTCGCCGACCCAGTTTAATGGGAGAATTATGAAACGTTATTTGACAAAGAAGTTCGTTAGAAAAATGTTGTAACGTTGTAATTAGGTGTCTCGATAGTTAACACTTTTGTGACGAAGATATTATAAGAATGCGCCTGTGAAACCGATTTGTAACTTATTATGAGGAACTTAAGTATTTCTTTTTATTGTATGCATATTGTGTACATATGTCTGATTGAGTTGCACATTTTGTTAGAAATTTGTAGTGCGTAGTTCCTGCATTGCCTATTTATTGCGTACTAGCTTCAGCCAGCGGCTTTCACTCTGTTACCGGGAAAAAGTGTGGGGCACTTTTGTTATAGTTATGTTATTGTAAAATTTAATTTAAATTCATACAGTCAGTTTCTAAGTGAAAGAATAACAAAGATCCATCCATATTCAAATACTTTCGTGCGTTGGATTGGGCCTCCGCTAACCTCATACCTATATACATATAACACAACGCGATTGTTGTTTCACGCCATTACATTTAGGATATTGGTAACTATATTCCCAATATAATATCAGTATTCCAAAAGCTGCAGAAAGTAAGACTTTAGTTTAATTTTTATATAACTGTTACGAGCCTGACGTCACGTTCCTGACTATGCGGGCTTAGGTTACGGGATTGGATGAAATTAAACACTAATACCGGTTTTCAGACTTTTTATTTAACTTAAGTGACAGTCCACCGAGTTCCTCTCTAGCAGAGTCCGGACTGACACAAACTTCCGTTTGCTGCTCACTGTTCACGCTGACTTAACTGCACTTTTCACTATTTCACAGCACTTTACTATGTCACTCACTTTTCTTCTGTTTCACTTCTTCCTTTTCTTCCGAATCGCTTTGGACTTAGAACTCAACTGCCAGCGGTGAGCCGCAGTTCCGCTTATATACCCCCGGTCAGGTTCTGGAACATTCAATTTCATTCGTCTTTTCATTATTAATTTCATTATTCATTTTTTTATTTTCCTTCTCGCTCTTTAATTTTTCATTTCTTTCACACAAAAGCTTCCAGAAAGTTCTACATAAAATTTCCATCAACTAAAAACTCCATGCTTACGGCGGAACTCGAACTTTTTGTCAAGGCAACGTTTGACAACCATTCATAGACATCATGATGACTCTTTTCCGTCACATTACTTTTAGGTTAGGCCGTGGTATAAATCCGTTCAAGCTGGCCCATTCGTGCTGAAGCATGGCTCTCATACACACATATATACACATACATCACACACATACATTGATTTAACAGACACTGACAAAGTCATAGAGAATTCTGCGTATAATAAAACCGAGTAAAGTGTCATTAAAACTTGCGTAGGAGATTACATTAGAAAGTACTTAATACGGAAGCATTTAATTCGCGTAATGAAGCACGCAACCGTCAGCTTAGTTCAGATAAGCTACGTCAGTTCTCACGATTATTAAAAGTATCTACATGTTTAAGGTGTTAGTCAGAGCGAGTAATGGTCAATTGATGATTTTCCCCAGACAAAATAAATGGCGCAATTCGGAACAGGAGGAAGAACGGGGTGGTTATTAATCAGGAGACTTACCCTCCCTTTCGCCCCATCCAAGGTGATAAAAGTGGGATGACTGTCTCCCTCAACAAAAAAAAATATATAAAAAATCAAATCAAATTCTTTATTTCAAGTAGACCACAACAGACTCTTTTGAACGTCAAGCAAAAAAAGATATCATAAGGTTTAACTTTATATGTGTCAGTCTGTCCGTCTGTCCTCTAGTGAAGCTATTTGCTTGTTCCAAAGTGTAGTTTTTTTTTTAAATCTTTATTTTATAAAGTGGAGATTCTTATGGAGAAGAACGAGCAAGAAACTTCATGGTTACTCTATTTCAATTACTTTTCACAATGCATTGTTACATAATTTAGATAGTTTTATTAGTTATGTGAGAATAGTGTAACATTAATGTTAAACGAAAGGTTCGCTTCATGCCCTTAAAAAGTTTCAACATGCCACGTATAATCATAGCACACATCATGCATCCACAGAAATCGTTCACTCGCATGTCTTAAACGAGCAGTTTAGTCCATGTAGGTACGTGATAGCTAAGAATGCGGACAGGAATTCACGAGGCATTAGGAAAATTGGGTCTGATTACTTAGCCTAGCCTCTTTTCCTGAGGCTTGGTGGTTATTGAAAACAGTTATAAACTACTTCAAGATGACGGTATAACATGCACGGACCTCAAACGTGCTGTCACGTAATTTGGAGTATGCCCAGTATCCAGTTCAGCATAATGAAGCTTGATTTGACGAGATAATGTGACGAATTGTTTAGAGATAAGATCTTTTCTCGCTAGGCACGAAATGGTGATAGCACACGTTTCTGAGAAATTGGAGATTGATGCATAGTTAATTGTTGAAGATCGATTGGTTTATCGGCGGTGGTTTATATATATTTTTTGATTGGTTTAAGTAGTTAAATGACTTTTCTCTCGCCCTGGGCGAGGCAAGGAGTGTCAGACTCTCACTGACTAAAAACCACCCTGTTTATTCTACTGCTCTAGGCCGTGGCCGTGTCGACTTTTTGCGCTTGCCCCGCAATCCCGAAAATGTTCTTAGCTTCCCCCCTACCAATTCTCAACGAAAACGTTTCACCCTTTTTTGAGTTATAAATAGTATACCTAAATTACCTAACACGACTTTTATCATGACTTTCCTTAATATAGAATTAGATAATTACTTGAATTTACTGAGAAAACCACCTAGCGCAAACAATCAAAATTTGCCAAGTTTAAAAAACTAAACAATAAAGTTAAAGAAAGAATGTGTTGATCAAGATAAAGAAATGTAAAATTGATGACACACGTTGGTAGTAGTTGGTAGAGCATAGCTCAATCAACGCCAGGACCAATTTTGCCAATACTTTTTTGGTGCATTTTTCTCATGATACAATGTGTTCTGAATGTCAGCCATCCTAATCTCAAGAATATGAACTAAAATAAATCTTATTTTATTCATATGTAAGTCTTCATTCCATTGATCGAATACCCTCAGTATCTAATGCTATTGGCATTTGCATGGCGCAATTTCTAGTCTGTATGCCATATCCGCTGTAATATCGAGTAGGTATACAGTGTGCTAACATTACTCAGCGAATATCTAGTTCACTGTAATAATAATATATCAATAAAATATGCTTTTGAGTCCTCGTAGTATTTGGCCGAAATGCATTTGATGCCGCATCCACTAGAGAGGGCTTTATAATATTTTTGAATTATGATCACAACGAATTTTCTGTTTGCTACGGGTTTTGTTTCAACTCTTTTCATTTCATTATTATCGGTTTTGGGTCACGTGTCGTCTGTCTTTGGTTTCCATTGAACTCTGTTATCCTTGGCCAGGTATTCATCCTATATTATAGCTTCATAAAATATAAAAAGCCTCTAGCCTATGTCCTATTCCGGAGTGTAACCTACTATGCCTGTGCCAAATTTCATCCAGATCCGTCTAGCTGTTTTGGCGTGATTAAGTAAGAAA